TTATATTCCAATTATAGGATATCATGAGAATTAACAGATGTTTTTTTTAATAATTATCTTTTCTTCTATAAAAGAAAAGACCATAAATTTAAAATACAAAAATATTATTTTTCTTGAAATACAAAAAAAGAAAAAGTCAAAAATGATTTTTCTTGTTCTATTTTTCTTAATTCCAATTGTTCTTTCAACTGCTATTTATCGACCAGTTGTTTTAATGCATGGCATTACATCAAATGCTGATGCTATGAATGATGTAGCTAGATGGATTCGATCAACATATCCAGGAATCTATGTTATATCAATCGAAATTGGTGATGGAAAAGAAGATTCATATCTTTTACCATTAGATATTCAAGTTGAAAAATTTTGTCAAACTGTTCGCTCAAATGAAAATCTTGATCAAGGTTTTAATTTAGTTGGATATTCACAAGGAAGTATTATTGTACGTGGTGCAGTTGAAAGATGTTCATTACCTGTTTTTAATCTAATTACATTAAGTGGAATTCATCAGGGAACATTTGGTATCCCATATCTTTTACAATTACCTATTGAATTAAGAGACCTAATTACTAAATATGCATATGAAACGCCAGTACAAAATGCTGTTAGTGTTGCTAATTATTGGCGTGATCCTGAACAATTAATTAAATATGATTCAAATTGTCATTTTCTTCCTGATATAAATAATGAACATGAAACAAGAAATGAATTTTATCGTCAAAATATGATTAATTTAAATGCATTTGTTATGACTTATTCTGATATCGATGAAATTATAATGCCACGACAATCAGGTTTATTTATGGGTTATACAAATAGTTCACTTGAAATTGAAACATATAATAATTCAAGACAATTTACAGAAGATCTTATTGGATTAAGAACATTAAAAGAACAAGGAAAATTATTTACTTTTACTGCTCATGTACGTCATCAAGATGTGACACATGAACCTAACAAAGATTTTATTATGAAAAATATTATGCCTTTTTTTAATAATACTTTATCATTATAAAATAAAAATTTGGTTTCAGAAAAAGAAATATTCTCAAGATTATTTTAGTTCATGTGGGAGAATTTGCACACACATTCTTAAAAATCATCATGATCGTCTCGTAAACTTTCATTATGATTATCTAACAGAATACAATAATCTTTACTTGATCAACAATTAAGAATTTCATAATTACATATTTTAATTATTTATATCTCGATGTATTCCGCACATTTCTTTTTCATTGTATGAGATAAAAACAAAAAGGGTCATGATAAATGTTAAATAAGATAAAATATGACGAATGCTCTCTCTGTTGTAAGCGAGAGAACGCAAATATGTTTTCTTTTTCTTCATTCATGTGTCCGTAAAACACGTGGTGTAAAATATTTCTTTTCTTTACTACTGAATACTGTTATTCATGCATACATACATATCATTATTAACTACGCAATACATTTTTCATTCTATTCTTTTCAATTGTGTTATAGATAATCTTATTCACCATGTCTTCTCGAGAAGTTATTCATTCAAATAATAATAATAAACATCATAATGGAAATGAAGTTGAATCACATGATGAAAATAAAAAAGCAATTTCACAATCACAAGCAACACAAGAAAATCTTGAAAATATATTTAATCCAAAAACTTATGTTCCTGGTTCGAATAAATTATCTCGACAATATTTACAAGAACGTCTAAGTCGTTCTATTCTACATGAATTTAGTATTGATGAACAAAAAAGCAAGAATTGAATTAGCTGCTGCTTATCGATTAGCTGCAAAAAATGGATGGTTAGAATCAATCTATAATCATATTACTTGTAATGTATCTGGTCCAAATAATTCACATCATCTATTAATTAATCCTTTTGGTTTAAATTATCGTGAAATTACAGCTTCATCTTTGATTAAAATTGATTTAGATGGAAATACAATTCATCCAGGCATTGTTGGTGATATTTTTGGAATAAATAAAGCTGGTTTTGTTATTCATTCTTGTATTCATCGAGCTCGTCCAGATATTCGTTGTGTCAATCATAATCATAACTGGGCTGTCGCTGGACTTTCTGCAACAAAAAGTGGAGTTATTGAATTAGCACAAACAACACATGTTACTGGAGAGATTGCTTGTCATGATTATGAAGGTATTGTTATATCATTAGATGAACAAGAACGAATTGTTCGTGATTTGGGAAATAAAGATGTCATGATTTTTCGTAATCATGGTTTACTTACTTGTGGATCATCGATTGGTATTGCATATTATCATGCACTAACATTATGTGCTGCTGCACAAATACAATCACATGCATGTTCGATGGCTATGAATAAAGATAATCTACTTATACCAGAAGATGAATATATCAAACGAAGTATGGCTATTGCTAAACATTTCACTAATAATTCATCTGCTGATTTGGAATTTGCTGCCGCTATGCGTGAACTTGATTATGATCAAGATCATTCAACTTATCCAGACTATCGAAATTAAACATTCATATGTGTTTCTTTTTCATTCCGCATCCATTACATTTTTTATTCTTCGAAAATAAAACTAAAAAAAAAGATACGAAACTCCAAACTTCATTGTTCCATAGACTTTTGTTTACTAAAAATCCATTATTAAATTATCAACTATTCTTGATAGTTAAAAATACAAAAAAAAAGAAGTTGTAGTTTTTATTGAGAATGTGAGTAGATATCGATGGAATAAATTAATTCATTCTTATATTTCTAATTAAAGAATTCACAATCTAATAAAATGAGAGAAATAAATATTATGAGTGTAATAGTCTAGATAACACAACTTCTCATTGGTATTTTATCAATAGATCATTTATTATTATTCATTTTGTTTTATTATTTATTGATGAGATTTATATAAACACTTTTTAGACAAAGTGTAATATAAAATGCAAATAGATAATTGAATTATTTAATTTTTTTTCTACCACGTCGAAACAAAATAGCAAGATATAAATATATAAAGTCATAAAATTAGTAGTAAATCAATTGAATCTATATCGGCAGAAACAATGAATCTAGAAAAATAATCTTCAGTGTGTATCTGAGATATGACAAAATGTTGACAAATTACAATAGTGATGTTGAATTGAACAGGAGTTTTCATATTTTATTTTTCTTATAGAAGAAAAAGCTTGACTATGTGAGTGTCTCAGAAATATCTATCACGCACATCCCCAATATACTTTTTTGCCTCTGTTCTGTATTCTTTCACTCATAGGCAATAGCAAGAAGTCAAATGTATTACTCACATTCTTTTTCACTTTTCTCTGCAATTTATTTCATTCTTATCTAACAACTAAAACCTTTTTGTTATCTTTGTGTTCTCTGTTTCTTAATATGTAAGTAACAACATCGAGTCTTGTATTACAGGAATACTTTTCTAACGACTATTCTCCATGTATTACGTTATTGATGAAGATAAAACTTACACCTATGAAATCTTAATGGAAAAGCATTTGGAAGAATCTGCTAAACTTCTTGCGTATACCTTCAGTCAGCAGAACCCAGTTGAAGTCTACTTGAAAACTACTTACGAACAATTCTATCTTTATGCATTGGCAGTTTTAAAAGCAACTTTAGAAGATCAACTGTCTATCATAGCAGTACACAAAGAGACGAAGGAAATTTATGGTCTTGTCCAAGCTACCGATGCTAAAACACTCGAAGGACAGAATTTCGATGATGTGGATCCCTCCAAAGATACATTAGAAATATTACAAGAAGTAGAAAACCGCTTTATGAAACAGTATGGTGAACTAAAAGAAAACGACTTAGTACAAATATTAATGGTGGGTGTTCGACAAGAATGTAGTGGAAAAGGTGAGACTTTGAAGTATTTATGATTTTTTGTAAATAAGTTTTCAGGAGAACTTATGATTCTGACACTTTATGTGATATCTGATAGGACTTGCTACGAAACTCCAGCAGATATTACTTGTTCATTGTGACCAACGTGGATTTAAGTATGTATTTGTTGAAGTTGCAAATCCAGCTACCTATCATATTTACACAAAGAAATTAAAAGGAAAAGAATTCACATCAATTTCTTTATCAACATTTGTAACGAGTGATGGCCGAAAACCATTTTTACATTATCATGGAGAAATACAATTGATTGTTTTTGATCTACAACAAAGAAGAATAACGGAATGCTTTTAATTACTGTATTTCCTGATGTTTAATTATCTTATAAAACCTATGAAAAAGTATTTGTGAAGTAAATACACATCGTTTTATTTTCACTTATGATTGGTGACGATGTCAAAAATTTTCTCTTGGATGAGTTTAACCCATTGAGACTCACTCCTGTTGCTGTCAGTATGAACATTATCATAAGTACTCTAAATAATTCTCATGATGAGCTCAACTTCTTTTCAGGTAAGTTGAGCCTATCCCTGATGTCATCACTACTTATGATGTGTCAGAATGTAGAGGTTATATTTAAATAACATGCATCAATTCTATACATATAAATAGTCAAAAATGAATTATTAAGCATATAATAAAAAATACTTGAATATGATAGGATTATATGTCAGTAGCTATTGTAGTTACAATATTCATAGATTTGTCATTCACAGTAATATTCCATTGTGCAATTTCACATATGCTATTTTAGTACTAATAGATTATTAATTTTTTTCTTATGCAATATTTTAATTTCTCCACATAATTTCAATACATTCCAATTAATCCAGTGTAATTTTCGACATTTTCTCTTTTTTCAAAACGTATAATATTGTTTAGTAACTGATAATCTTGCACTGGTTAATAAACATTTTGATGTTTAACATACGTTTCCATTATTTGACTAACTGGATTACTACCGAATAATTAATTTGTTAGGACTATAATTTCATTGTGTAATTGGCTAAAGCTTTTTCATGTGTATCGGAACACACTAATAATTTCTTCCTAGTTCAGCATATAATTGACGAAATTCTGCGTTGCTTAGAAAATAGTCTAACATATTTGAGACAATGCGGTCTATTAATGACATCTATCACATTTTAACATGAAGTTTAATATGCTGAGTGAGGATATGCTAGTTTACCCGTACTACGGACTCTTCTCACCCATCCTCTTTGTATTTTTTCATTTTTGGCATCATTATTATATACGAGTATATTCATAATGGTATAAGCACGATTGGATAACCAAAAACTGTTATTAAGCGAAAGAGTTATGGTACGTAGCTGTAGGTTCGACGAAGAAACGTTTGTAGGCAACAAATCACTTTTCATTAGAGACTATTTTCATTTTCTAGGTCCTAACTATACAGTGAAGAAGTAGATATTATACTCGGCCTTCAATCTAAAGAATTGAATCTAAAGCTTAACTGTTGTCGACAAACAATTGTCGTAGGCAATAGAAATTTCTTAAAACTGAAATAAAAAATGAGTGTAAGTTGTAATAGTGAATCGACTTGTCGCTTGGTTGCCATATTAAACTTTCTTCTCTCATTCCTGAAACATTAGTAACAATTGAAAATAACCATGTGTTTACTACAACTAACTACTATCTTAATATGATAAAAGTGAAACAAAGTTAGTCAATAAACGATAAGTAAATATCTGATAATTTTCTTTTCTACTCATACATAGCTCAGTATTTGAATAGTCATTGATATCTTAAAGCTTACATACGTGTATAGTTTAATGATCTTGAAGATATGAATATGAATGAAATATATTCATTCATTATTCATATCTACACCCGCTATCGTAGAAAATAAAACCAACAATGGTAACAATAATAATAATATTAATAATATAGAATATAATTAGAAAAATAGTGACACAAACTTTAGTAATATCGATCACAACATTAATATCAACTTGAGCAATAGAAATGATCATAAGATGAACTATAATAATAATAATATATATAAAAATACTAATATGAATTTAAATAACAATAATAATCAACAATATAAGGGTAATAACAAATTTAACTTCAGTATTACGAATAATATGAATACTAAAAAGAATAATTTAAATGACAACATAAATTTATATATATATAATAATGAGATCAACTTAAAAAATAATGAAGACAAAATCAATATAATACTAAGCTACTATGGACACAAATCATTCATATTCAGTCATAAATTAATGGAAATACTTAATAAATTTAAGGCTGACAGCAGAGTTATATTCAAAAAAGAATATAAAGCCATCGGAGATAACTTTAAAGAAAAAGAACTAAAGAAAATAATCTGAAAAAGATCAGAGTAAAGAAGAGTATGCAATAACATATTCATAAGATAAGAATAAAAAATAATCTAACAAATAAAAACTGAATGAACCAATAATATTATAGCACTTGAAAAAAATGACGAACAGAAAGAGAAATCTAAGAAACTAATCAAAATTTACAATTAACAATATGTTAACAAACTTTTAAATAATATAAAAGAAATACATCCGTATAATTAATTTATCGTTTTAATCTTTCTAATAAAAGATCTGATAATGATACTTGTTAGTACTGAACGCTCGTAATCAAAGAAACGAAAGTCTTCACAAACATATTTTACTTTGTACTTGTTAGAAAAATCCAACACATACGAATGAATGCAATTTCATTATTTCTTGCAAATAATGAATACTACAAATGTATAACTTGTCTCTATCAAAAAATTATCTTAAAAATATTCATCTTTCTTTGTATGTTGAAGTGAATAATAAACGATTTTTGAATATTATTTTACTGAATAAAAAAATCAAGATCATTTTAAGGCTATGAGATTACATAAAGCTAAAATCTATAAATGGGAGTCAGTATATTTACTCTTGATTACGTGCGTACCTTTGTCTACATAACTTTATAATTAACTCAAACTTGGTACTGAATCAACACTTTTATTCCTATTTTTAAATAATTTTTATTTGAACTATTTACAACTAAGATTTTTAATCTTTAATAAATTATTGTAAGAGAATGGACTGTGTACTTCGTTCCATTTAATAGGTAAATCTGCATTTTTTATTCCTTTTTGTTTCAAGCATTTTTTGTAAGGATATATAATAATTAAAATAGCTACAGAAGTATTACGTAGAAAGGCAACTTAAGTTTATATATGATAATTAAAACGATTATCTAACTTCGTATTTTTTTTTCTTTAATGGACAACATTTCAATAACTTCAAATGCAGACTTTGCCTTCAGCACTGTTTGCAAGTTTTATTGGACACAATTTACTATTACATTTGGTTCAGTTGTATGTATCGACGTTATAATTGATCTCGACATATATAAACAGAGAGATAGAGAATACATTGAATCATTTCAAGTTATTTGCTAGTCGAATGAAACAATATTTGTCAATACGGAAGAGTAACAACACGGTGCTCGAATTGGATATAAAAATATTTCAATATTATCTAGCAGTTGATATTATTTAATAAAAAGCACAGATTCTCGTGACAGAAAGAGAGTGATGACGACAATGCTTTAGGTGCTTGTCAATAATAATAAAATTATAAATACGTAGTCATAAAAAGTAAGTGAAACTATTCTACTGACGTTCAAACAGCTTCTATTTATTTGACAACACATTCATTTCCATTTATTCATTTATCATGTCTCTATCATCACTCGCTGTTATTCAACAAGCAATGACTCGTTATGTTTTGCCTATCACTTTGGGACTAGGTAATGTAGGTAATATCATATTGATTGTATTTTTTTCTCAGAAAAATCATCGTATGAATTCATGTTCACTCTATTTACTTGTTGCTGCTTTCTTCGGTATTGTTGGTGGCAATTGTGGAGTAATTCCTTATGTCGTGGCTCTTTATTTTCCCGATCCATTCAACAAATTTCTTGTTCTATGTCGTCTTCGACTGTATATTATATATATATCTGCTATGAGCTTTCGATCAATGATTGTTCTAGCAACTGTTGATCGTTTTGCTCTCTCCAGTTCTCGGCAATCATTTCGAGCGCTTAATTCATTTATAATCGCTCAACGAGCAACCATCTGTATTTGTTTCATCTGGGCTATCGCTGGTTTCCATCTACTCATCTGGCCAACTATTCAAAATGATCGATGTCTGGTCTATGGAGTCTATGGTTTTACATATAGCATTCTTCAATTGATTACTCTAGGTCTTCTTCCGACTATTCTGATGATTATATTTGGCACACTCTTGAAAAAGAATCTTTATCAAACTCGTGCTCGTGTTCATCACGTCGCAAGACAAGCAATAAATTTGAATACCACTGCTTTTCGAAAACGAGACAGGTTTTTAATTGTACTTGTTTACACTGAAATTTTTCTTACCTTCATTTTTACATTTCCTTATGCAAGTTACGCAATCTATACGGCACTCACTAACAATATTCCAAACAAAAGTGTCGAAAGACTGCAGATCGAATCATTTGCATTCTTTTTCACTGTGTCATTTCTGCTTTATCTCGGTAATTCAACAACTTTTTATGGTTATATGGCAATATCAAAAACATTTCGACGTGAAGTTAAAACTATGTTACTGAGATTTGTTGGAAGAAGACCGACAATCATCGGTCATGAACCAGCAGAAAACAATATGCCAACACGTTTAATAAATCAAACAAGACCAATCATTTCAAATATTCCTCATTAGTTTATTATTTAATAATATTTTCTCTTCTTTCATTTATATATTTATCTAGTTTAACAGTAAAATATTAACATAACCATATCCAGATTACTGTACTATTTAAATTAATAAAACAAAAATTTTCAGCTTTGAAATTATTTTTGAACTCATCTTCTATTCAAAGTTAGAATATAGAAATGAGTTGTTTAAACTGTTCTTGAAAATTATGACTATTGTATTTTAAATATGTAAATTACTGATAAATCAGTTGGTACCATGGAAAAAATACGTTCAGTTATTGGTTTATCATTTGCAAAAGTATGTCGCATACATTATAAAAATATTTATTTATTTTACAATTATATAAGATAATAAATATTTGATTTCAAAAAAAAGTTATATTATAACATACTCTTCTCATATTTGTCTTACATTTCAATAAACATAGATTTTTTTTAAATAATTTAGTGGATAAATTCATACTTAATTATTATCTCTTGTTCTTAGTCTGGAAAATAGAACATATCAACGTAAAAAATTATATTAGAAGAATGAAAACGAAAAGAGCAACATCGTAGGATAATTGACTCAAAATAGTTTATATCTGTGGAGTAAAAAGCATTAGATAAACGAGAACCATATATTGCATATTCACATTATCTCACATGCTTTATTTTTAATGACTGACATTATTTTTTTATTGATTTTTGTTCCATTTCTCTCTCTGTAATCAAAAATGTTGTTTCAAAATCCAAATGAATGTTGAATCAATTGAGATGAATGATTGAGAAGATACTATTTTTACAGATCAGAAATTTGTCTTTTGAGAAAATATGTGATACAAGTTGAACAGCATACATCGAATAAAGTATTTCTTTTAATAGATTCAAGTATAACTTATCAAAAGTGAAATATATTTGAAAAATATCTTTAAACTTTACTAAAATGATTTCAAATACAATAGCTACATAGCAGTCAAAAAATGGAAAAGATCAAATCTAGATAGTTTTGAAAATATTATGAGTACTATACTTGTGTTTCTCGTGTCTTATAACAAACCTACGGAAAATCCCGTTGAACAGAACCACATTATCTAATGTTGTGATATGATCGAAATTTTTCCAATAGTGCATGTAACACCATGATAAATGTTTCCAAAAGTGGTGTACATTGTACAAAAACAATATGTAAGAATGAAACCATTGTCGTGTTCACTACTACGAAGATATTTTCAAAAATCTGCCAAAAATCTCTGGCACCTCGAGACAGAAGAATATTATAAAAGTTCAGAAGGTTCATTGCTCACTTTCTTGAAACTTTGAGTGATCTGTTCATCTAAAATCATTTATAAACACATCAGTGAAATGATATCAATCCACATCTCCTGCTATATCTCACTTCTTCACAAAGGTACAATACTATCTATTATTTTCAAGAATGAAATTAGATTATGTTATTTGACTAATATATAGTTTAACTATAAATAACTGCTTGGTCAGACGAGAAATAAGAAACAACGCGTAAAAATGTGTGTTTTTATTAGTTTCTTTTTTTTTTCTTCAAATTTTAACACGTTTTTTTTCTGTTGTTTGTCTGTCTATGATTCAACTGTAAACATACAATTTTGGTGTTAGATTTTTTTATTTTTATCTAGATTTCATATAATATAACAATTAATTTATAATCGTAGGTATAATTGCAGATATATTTGGAAAAATAACAGCCAAGGTGTCATAAAAAATGCAATGCATATAATTCATTTCATTCAATAATTTTTACTAAATGGTTGTTATTTAATTCAATACTAAATTATGTTTTTGTAGCTATTTTTTGGTTTTCTAGAAATAAAAATACAGTAAACAGTAATATAAAAACACATTTTATTAATGAGAGAAATTGATTGAGTACAGTAAATTGTAGATGATAATTCAAATGTTACTTTGTAAGATCTATATTCTTCATGCCTATACAACTTTAAATACTGAAAAAATAAAAAAAAGACTTTATATTGAAATGAAAACATAAAGTATCATATATGTATACATAAAACTAAATACTAACAAAATAAAGCATGTTGTTTATTTAGAGTACAAAAAAATTTTAGTTATCACAATATAAAGGCTGCTCCGGACTCAATCAGGTTTTGTACTGATCTGCAATATATTCATATAAAGCACTGTAAAAAAAATCACATTATGTATTCTCTTTTCTTTTTTTTTCAACTTCATTATACAGCATAAATTATTTCGGTCTTCATGACAATTTTTTCATCTTCATACACAAAATAAAACGCAAGACGCGTGGATAGCAAATGTCTTGTTATTGTGTGTTTTCATTCTATACAAAATTAAACAAACAGAAGAAATATAAAATCAATGTGGATCCTTCAGTATTTGACATACTAAATACAAATGAATTCAATACCATAGTTCTGAATATGTAAGTAAGCAGGATGGGTGTGGATCTAAGGAAAATAAGTTATACAGTTTCATCAATCCACACATACTCATACTCTCAAATTACATTCAGAGTTTCAATGGATTCACAACATCTGATAGATATTTCTAGCAAGATTGTTCTATTGACATCATTCTCAAAAGCATTTTTTTCTTTAGTTCAACGATATGAATGATTCTGTTATAGATATTACTTTTATTATGTATCATCCTACAATTTAGTTAAAAATCTTTGTCTTTTAATTCATATATATATTTTATTAAACGCAAATGTTAGTAGACAGTCACTATTCAAACAAAAACACTCACAATCATTATTTTTGGAATGAATCGAGAAAAATGTTAGTTGGGAATAAAAAAAATGGTTAGTTTCACACCTTGATTAATAGTATGAGTATGGAGTAAAATAAAATAGTGTCAAATGTTCGAGACAAGAGAAAACTGTCTTTATCGTCGAAGAATATTTTTCATTCGTTGTTGATGTCTTGCTTTTGCAGCAATGTTTGATGGTTTGAACATATTCGTGAACTTAGTGAAAGCAGCATACATTGCCAGAGCCTGTAAAGGCATAAAAGCAATCATCGTAACAGCTGACATAATTGCCACTGGTTGTTTACATGCATTTTCCTAATACACACATATTTATGTCAAGAATATCAATCATAATTGAATAATAACTTACGAAATCTAGTGGATAAAAAACAGGAATAGTTGATTCAGTTGTTGCACCTGTGGTAGTCGGGCCTGCTGTTGTTGGAGCTAGAATACAAATTAAACAATTATAAATTACTCTATCAAAAAGAAATATTTTATAGAAAATGTCATTTTTTACCAGCTGTCGTTGGAGGTGTGGTACTGGCAGTTGTTGTAGTTGTTGAAGCATTCGTACTAGTTACTACTATTCCACTTGTTGTACACTATGAAAAAATGTAATATTAAGAATGAAATAAAAATAAAAATTAGCTTACTGCAGTATTGATTGAAGTAGTGGTTGTTCCTAGGCTTGTAACTGTATGAGTTGTTGGTGGAGTGGTAGTTGTTGTGGTTGTACTTGAAAGTGCTGGATTCCAGATATCGAATCGCCAAAATGTTTTATCAGTGATGGGTGCCGATTCAGCATCTGTATAGTTACATTAATTATGATAAAATATTTAATGTTTTACTTTAACGGGAAAAATTAGACAAAACGACTTACGACAGAATACACTTCCACTAGCAAATCCACTGTCCATTGTTACATAATAGGATTGGCCAGGTGTCCATGTAAAATCTGCAACAATTACAATTGTATATCCAGTATAAATAACATTTGGAGAATATCCAGCATCATAACATAGAACTGATGCATTTGTAGTGTCCAAGTGAAAACAGACGTTTGTTCCATTACGAGAAGGACGACCAACTGCACTTGTTGCTGTTTAATTAAAGTAGAAGATGGAGAATATCAGATTGAGTTAAATAAAAACAAAACTATATATCGAAATAATGCCTACCTTGTATGGAAAAGAGTGTCTGGTTTGAAAAGACAGTACCTATTGGACTTGCTGATCCTTGTACTACTTGAGGAAGAATTAAATTTGGTGATGTATAGTCAACTAGGTACGTAAGACACCATGGAGCTGATTGTAGACTACTATTGTCAATTGCACCAGCACAAAAACCTTGAGGGCCAGCTTGTGATGCTATGGGTGTCCATGTTAATGTCATTATCCATAAATCTGAGATATTGGATTTGAAATTGAAAAATTTACACATTCTAACGAACTACTATCCATTACTTACTAGGACTTGGATTGCTAATAGCACTATGTGTCATTCCAATAGGTGAACTAGTGACAAGATCAACGATTGTTTGGCCAGGACAGTATGTTTGTATCTCTATGGTTTCAGTGAGCTGAATACCTAAAACATAGATTATAAATATTAGAAAAGAAAGGCATTCACTGCAGTTACCATATGGAACTCCAATACAAGCTAAGGAAGATGAAACAGGAAAAAAAGAAAGTATTATTAAATGTTTGAGTTTAGTATAGAATAGAATATATATTCATACCTCTATTTGGACGAACACCAATAATTGCAGGAGCAGTTGCGCATGCACCAGCGGAAACATTGTATGCATAGAATAAAAATTGTATTGGAACTGAGCTCATTGGAGTCGTATAAGTAGAGCTAAAAAAATCTTCGATTTGCAGTGCACAACCATAATAGATTTTAGCAGTTGGTAGAGTAAAACTCAAAGTACAATTGGTTCCAGTGAGTATGGTTCCAGTGGGTAGTCCACTACAGACACCTCCACATTCATCAACACGATTGTAGTTGGTTGTAATATTTTTATTGGACCAACGACATACCAAATAATCAGTAGCATCATTATCTGCCATTTGTACAACATGAGTTACTCGTGTACCCCTTGGATAAAATACTACTGGTAATGTAGTTGTAACAGGACTGGAATTAATATAACCATCAGGTCTCGAGGCTAGATTCATTCGATTGACAATTGCCCAATTACCACCACTGCCAATATAGAGAGCAAGAAACCATGCACTTGAGGGAAAGCCAATTGTAATTGATGTTGTCAAAGGCAATGTTTCAGTGTAGTAGTATTCACCAGCCCATGAATCAATGATCGGGTTTAAATCACAATCTGTAGTTACCATATTAGTTGTAATTTGAGTATAGGTAGAACTTGAACAGTTTGCTAAACAGGTCATATAAGAACCGACTGGAATAACTGTTTGAGCAACAACATTTGCTTCCGTGCAGTAAGGGGTACTAAACCATGTTCGATTCCAAAAATACCTTTGATGTATTTGGATTTGTGCAGTACTACCCTGTACTGTATTGTTTAACGGACGCCTGAGAAGAAGAAGAAAATAAAAAGTAAAATATGGAAGACAGTATGAAAGAACAAACGTTGATTGGGTATACTTACCATGAAATAATACCACCACGAAAATGATTTCCATCATTTACCGGACATAGTGTAGATAAAATGAAAAGAACAAGGTGTAAAACCTGCTCCATGTTGTTAGTGTTCAACAGTTGTTTCTTCTTTGTATAATAAAATACACAATGAGACAGCAAACTGAGATTCAACGTTTATGTTTTTAAAATGTGTATAGAATGTATTTTTTGGTGTTGTTTTATAAGTGTGTGTGTTTGTCCTCGGAGTTCACAAGAAAAGTGCATTGATAGTAGTTCATAAAATGTTTGTTTTTTTTAGACGAAAAATAAAAACGAAATTTTAATGGATTATTTCTTAACATTCATACAAGAAAAATCAAACAATAGAGAATATTATATATTTGTTTATTTTATAAACTCTCTCTCTTTCGACAATGAGAAAAGAGGAATGAGATTTAAATGGTAACCAACATACAAATAATTTTGAATCTATTGTTGTTGTATTGTTTTGATGTTGTGAAGTGACAGAGGATAGTGTAGGCATAATTTTATATAATTTTCTGACACACATGAATATAGTGATGTAAAAACCATACACTATTCGCAAAATCTTATCCACAGAAAATATTTTATTGAGCCTTTGAACAGAGAAATAGAGACAAAATATAACTTAAACTTAGATTTGTTTGAGTTTATCATAAAACTCTGAAAGTTTTAGAAAAATATTTTTAAAATTTCACAGAGAGTAAAATATCTGTTACAATTTTTCTGACTAGTTTTTTTAAATTGTTGACTCAAAAATCTTCTTGCTTTTCTAACAAAATATTCCATAGTAGTATGTCTCTCTGATGGTGGGAAGCCTCTCGAAGAACAATATACTGAATACATGTGAATTCTTCTCTTAAATATTTTATTAATTTAGAAAGAAGCAACTTTGTTTGCTGCATTTAATTGAAACCATGCAACTTTTTTAAGTGTGTAAACTGAAAAATGATCAAGATTGAGACTAAGTGTTTTTTTATATTTCAATCCAACGAAATTCTTCAAGGTCTATAAGCTATCGTGATGTTGGTATACATTACAAACGTCGAAAAAGTGTCGCAACCAAAATGTTGAATGAAGAAAGATGCAAACAAGTTTGATAAGAAAAGCAATTGCTACCAAGTGATTTTTTTTCTTTCTTTCTCTCTCTTTCATTCTGTTTTACTGTTATACATGTGCTCTTTATGTTCTACTATTGGCATACTTTTGTAATGGATATCTTTTATAAATAAGAAGAATAATTATTTTAATTCTTCTTATTGTTTATTATCTTTAACAAAGCTGAAGAAGCTTCTGAAACTCTTCATTCGTTTATTTCATTCACTAATAAATACTTTATTTTCTTTTAAATGAAATAATACTGATGTCATCTCATTTGTTGACACATTTCTAACTACAACATCAACAAAAATTGTCGATGAAAAATACATCACAAACTGCGTAGTAATGCATTCGATTAGAATTATTTTCTTTTATTTACTAAGAAGAAACAGAATGTGTAATATGATAAAAACTGAATACCAAAATAGGAATAAATTGATAAAGACGAAAACGAGTCGGTATCATCAAACTGACTTTTCTTGGTAGTTAGAAATACGAAGCCATTAAATAGTTCTCCAATATGACTATCTATTTTTTGTCATATGATGTATTCAGAATAGCAATTTTTTTTCGATACAATGTGAGCGAGGGTGTGAGTGAATAAATGACAGTGATTGTGATCTTTCTAGGTTTGTCTCTGGCAGTCGACCACACTAATGTTCAGAAAATTTTACGACGTTTCAGATCTATCGTGGTGTTCTCAAGAATATTTAAATATTTTACTTGTTATGGATATCGGTGATTTATTTTGAGTTTGTATTTTTTTTTGTATGAGAATGAAGAAAATGTTTGACTAAATATACTGTGAATATTAATTATAAAGTTTTATTCACTTCTCTTGGTTAATATGTCATAATACTGATTTAAATCCATCTGCTTGATTAACAACGCAATCGAACTGAAACAATTGATTAGATTGAGGATGGATGCTGAATTCAAAGTTCTAATGGTGCTGAAATATCTCAAACGTAGATTTATTGCTTCTTTTGTAACTACAGGTGAAAGTGATGAGTGTGGATGCTGATATATTCTATTGTAATTCATATATGACGCAGTTATACCGTATTTTGCACTGCGATGTCATTTATGAACTTCATTCATACGAACAAAAGCGGACTAGCTGTCTCGTTCGGATAACAGAACTTTATACATTTATGAAGTACGGTGATAACTTTTGAGATGCTTTATACTTAAGTGAAAAGAATAGTTTTTCAAACAAAATAAGCAGGCTTTCTTATTTACTATTGATAGTGACATTGAGTATGAACATATGAATAGATGGCGCAGAATTAATAACAAATTTTCTGAGTACGACTGTTTACAGTTATTACTTTTGTGTATATCTTTGTCAAAAATTATTGCCATACAGTTGCAACATTGATAAGACAATCAAACTACTAATAATATGCATAAATCGATCAAACAAACATGACTTTCGTTCTAACAAAAAACAGTTTAATTGTATCGGTTAGTGGCATCTTCTAATCATAGAAAGAAGCTTTTTTTCGATTTAATTAAAAGGTAAAAAAATAAATGTATAACTAATCTATTGAATATTTTTAATTAAATCTACTGCTCTTTCTGCTATTGCAATAGTTATATTGTCTGATGTAATACTGGACATGATCCTTGCATCAATAACACAAAGATCTTTTACACCTTTAACTTTTATATGAGGTGTGACAACTGTCATGACATCTTGTTCTTTTCCCACTTTACATGTTCCTACTGGATGATAGATTGTATAGCGAAGTGAAAATGTGAATAACATAATCTTATGAATTTATTCATTCATATCCTTGATATGATCATGAAAACAGAATGATTGTAAATTAATTTGTGAGAAATACAATGAGTGATTAAAGAATCATATTTTATACTACACACTTTGTTCGTATGGTTTTTATTATTGATAAATACGATCAACTTATTTATTTCAAATGAAATAATGTTAGTTTTATAAAGAAATAAATATTTTAAAAACATGATTTTACTACGGTGGTTTTTTTCTGAATATAATCGTATTTTTGAGTTATTACTTTGCTCTAAGAAGTTTTAAACAAATCGGTGTAAAATAAAATTTTTTGACAAAAGTTCTATAATCTGCTTAGCAATATAATCAATAAAAAGATTATAATATCATATTAAGAAAAAAAAGTTCTATTGTATATCTGGAATTTAAACTTATTAAACTATTATATATGAAATAAATTAATTCAAATAATGAATTAACAGATATATCATTAAAAATATAGAACTTGTGATGTTTTCTTTTAAACAATAGATATTCTATATATTATTGTCTCAAGAATTTCATATTACATTTTTTAATAATGCAATAGAAAATAAATATCGACTTTGGAACCTGTTGTAATTGGAAATATAAAAATGAAAAAATTTATTCGATCAATGTCTACTCACATTCTCAATAAAAACTACAATTTCTTTTATTTTTTTGCATTTCTAACTATCAACAATAGTTGATAATTTAATAATTGATTTTTAGTAAACAAAACTCTATGGAACAATAAAGTTCTGATTTTCATATCTTTTTTTTTAGTTTTATTTTAGGAGAATAAAAAATGTAATGGATGCGGAATGATAAAAAAACACATATGAATGTTTAATTTCGATAGTCTGGATAAGTTGAATGATCTTGATCATAGTCAAGTTCACGCATAGCAGCAGCAAATTCCAAAGTACCATATGAATTATTAGTGAAATGTTTAGCAATAGCCATACTTCGTTTGATATATTCATCTTCTGGTATAAGTAGATTATCTTTATTCATAGCCATCGAACATGCATGTGATTGTATTTGTGCAGCAGCACATAATGTTAGTGCATGATAATATGCAATACCAATCGATGATCCACAAGTAAGTAAACCATGATTACGAAAAATCATGACATCTTTATTTCCCAAATCACGAACAATTCGTTCTTGTTCATCTAATGATATAACAATACCTTCATAATCATGATAAGCAATCTCTCCAGTAACATGTGTTGTTTGTGCTAATTCAATAACTCCACTTTTTGTTGCAGAAAGTCCAGCGACAGCCCAGTTATGATTATGATTGACACAACGAATATCTGGACGAGCTCGATGAATACAAGAATGAATAACAAAACCAGCTTTATTTATTCCAAAAATATCACCAACAATGCCTGGATGAATTGTATTTCCATCTAAATCAATTTTAATCAAAGATGAAGCTGTAATTTCACGATAATTTAAACCAAAAGGATTAATTAATAGATGATGTGAATTATTTGGACCAGATACATTACAAGTAATATGATTATAGATTGATTCTAACCATCCATTTTTTGCAGCTAATCGATAAGCAGCAGCTAATTCAATTCTTGCTTTTTGTTCATCAATACTAAATTCATGTAGAATAGAACGACTTAGACGTTCTTGTAAATATTGTCGAGATAATTTATTCGAACCAGGAACATAAGTTTTTGGATTAAATATATTTTCAAGATTTTCTTGTGTTGCTTGTGATTGTGAAATTGCTTTTTTATTTTCATCATGTGATTCAACTTCATTTCCATTATGATGTTTATTATTATTATTTGAATGAATAACTTCTCGAGAAGACATGGTGAATAAGATTATCTATAACACAATTGAAAAAAAATAGAATGAAAAATGTATTGCGTAGTCAATAATGATATGTATGTATGCATGAATAACAGTATTCAGTAGTAAAGAAAAGAAATATTTTACACCACGTGTTTTACGGACACATGAATGAAGAAAAAGAAAATATATTTGCGTTCTCTCGCCTACAACAGAGAGCATTCGTCATATTTTATCTTATTTAATATTTATCATGACCCTTTTTGTTTTTATCTCATACAATGAAAAAAAAATGTGCGGAATACATCGAGATATAAATAATTAAAATATGTAATTATTAAATTGTTAATTGTTGATCAAGTAAAGATTATTGTATTCTGTTAGATAATCATAATGAAAGTTTACGAGACGATCATGATGATTTTTACGAATGTGTGTGCAAATTGTCCCACATGAACTAAAATAATCTTGAGAATATTTCTTTTTCTGAAACCAAATTTTTATTTTATAATGATAAAGTATTATTAAAAAAAGGCATAATATTTTTCATAATAAAATCTTTATTAGGTTCATGTGTCACATCTTGATGACGTACATGAGCAGTAAAAGTAAATAATTTTCCTTGTTCTTTTAATGTTCTTAATCCAATAAGATCTTCTGTGAATTGTCTTGAATTATTATATGTTTCAATTTCAAGTGAACTATTTGTATAACCCATAAATAAACCTGATTGTCGTGGCATTATAATTTCATCGATATCGGAATAAGTCATAACAAATGCATTTAAATTAATCATATTTTGACGATAAAATTCATTTCTTGTTTCATGTTCATTATTTATATCAGGAAGAAAATGACAATTTGAATCATATTTAATTAATTGTTCAGGATCACGCCAATAATTAGCAACACTAACAGCATTTTGTACTGGCGTTTCATATGCATATTTAGTAATTAGGTCTCTTAATTCAATAGGTAATTGTAAAAGATATGGGATACCAAATGTTCCCTGATGAATTCCACTTAATGTAATTAGATTAAAAACAGGTAATGAACATCTTTCAACTGCACCACGTACAATAATACTTCCTTGTGAATATCCAACTAAATTAAAACCTTGATCAAGATTTTCATTTGAGCGAACAGTTTGACAAAATTTTTCAACTTGAATATCTAATGGTAAAAGATATGAATCTTCTTTTCCATCACCGATTTCGATTGATATAACATAGATTCCTGGATATGTTGATCGAATCCATTTAGCTACATCATTCATAGCATCAGCATTTGATGTAATGCCATGCATTAAAACAACTGGTCGATAAATTGAGCTTGAAAGAACAATTGGAAGTAAGAAAAATAGAACAAGAAAAATCATTTTTGACTTTTTTTTTTTGTATTTCAAGAAAAATAATATTTTTGTATTTTAAATTTATGGTCTTTTCTTTTATAGAAGAAAAGATAATTATTAAAAAAACATCTGTTAATTCTCATGATATCCTATAATTGGAATATAATCTTTTGTAAAAAAAAAAACAATCTTATTTCTGATTTAGTTTGAAAAAAAATAAAACATTGTGGAAATAATTCACATAACATATGAGTATTGAAGTTAGTTATGATGGAATATAGTTGTTTTAAATAACAAGTGTCTATAGATGTATATGTGGAAATATGTCGAATAAATTTAATATTCTAAATATAAAAGAAATTTTGAAAAGAAATCTGTTTATTTATATGAAATTTTTTATTATTATAAAAGTCAGTGCTGGAACCAGTCCGGATCAATTTTCTAACATTTCTTGTAATTCAATAATGGTAAGTTTTCAAGCATGATAGACATCTCTGATATATATTGATTTTTTAACTAGAAATCAGAAACAAGTCAAGCGTGTGGGTAAGTCTTAAGGAGATGATCAATCTCATCTCCATAGCTTCACAAGAGTTTTCATCCATCGTGAGGGTGTGAGTTAGAATAAGAGAGATGAACAGAATACTCACCTCACATTTAGTACTGATCTTAATAATAAAACTTGTAAATTTCTCTTTCTTGTTATTAATCGATATTTAAAATATATCTAACTAAATCATTGATTATTTTATTGATTCTTTCAAATTCATTATTTATAATAAATATACGCATATGCACATTTTAGCGTTTCTCTAATTTGAGAAAAATTGCTTTTCTTATATACAATATAAGCAAGAAAAATGAAATTGCTCGTACGAAAAAAAGAATACTTCTATTGTTTCAGATGACAATCAGCAAATTAACGTTGTTCGATTGACATAATCTTCTATTCGATAGTTAAATAACTGTAAATCATCATTATAGAGACGTTTGAGCCGACAGATAAGATTATCTGGTAAAGATGAAAATAACTGTTGATAATCCCATGTCTTATGACCGGATGCACCGCGTCGCTTTTCATTATTCCATTCAGATACATTGAGACGTTTGAGTAATGAATTAAAATCATTGTCGAATGTTTCATATTTACCAATAAAATTATATTTAAATTTACACACTTGACAAACTACTGTATATGGCTGCCAATGACCGTCCATTTGAGTTACTCCAGAATATGTGCCAGTATTCATAAGAATAAATTCAACAAAATGTTTGAATGGCGGAATAGAGTATTCACATGGATGCTCTTCTTTCAATGGACCTGGAATCCAATCAGGGTGTGTATATCGACGACAGATTACCTTGCGAACATTATCGTAGTGAGTTTCTGGTTGAATTCTATCTTTTGCGAGTGTTGCGATTCTTTCCTTATAAGCCGATGCTAGACGTTCAAATGGATGTCGAACAAATAGAGCACGAGTGAAGGATGGAGAAAATATATCAGATAGATTTGATATACTTTTGAAATCAAAACTATGAAATATGTCTTTTATATTTAATCGCCATGGATTGAAATATAGAGATGGAGATGTACTACTGACCCTTTCAAAACGAAGGAGATGAAGATAAGTCTTCAACAATGAAGAGAAAGAAGTCGATTCTTTTGTGTTTGTAATTGTAATTCCATTCTAAAGTGAAAGATTGAAATATAAATACTGTTATTTTATTTATTTGTCATACCTTTTGAAGTTGATTGATGAGTTTAGGAATATCAATGAGTTGTTCTGGTCGAATTCTCTTAATATTAATATTTGTCGAATTATTATCGAGATGAGTTATAATATCACGAACAAAAACATACATCATTAGTGAAACAAGCGTTTTTGATGCTATCTTTGGAATAGCACAATACATCAAAGATTGAGATTGAAGAGGATAAAGAGCTGCATTAAGCCATGGATACATATATATCAAACCGGTAGACGAACACGTTGTTATATTATTTTCTGATCTGTACGAATCATTACATTTACCGTTGAGTACTCTCGAACGACTTTCGTACATTTTTGGTATCAATAAATGTGAATTGGTTTCCATCTTTAGATCTTCTCCTGTTGTTAGTTTTTTATTTGTAATACAGTAACGATAATGAAACTGAAATATGACTAGAAATCCCATGAAAATAACTCCATACAAATAGTATTGCTTGCATTTTTGAAGAGTTCCATGATGGTGAATAAGGTGATGGAGCATTTTAGGTAAAGTACTTGAATTTTATGATCGTTAATGTTCAGTAATAATCTACTTCGCACCAAATAGAATCACGAATACGACAATGTTCTAACTTCTAAAAATGAAGATAATCGTTTGTTGTAATATATTTTATTCGTTAAAAAATTAACATGAATTTATAATATGTAATCGTTTTAACTCTGTTTCTGAATTGACTAGTTCCACGATAAACTTCTAAATCTACTCGATTATACGAAAAAAGATGGATTTATAAGTTTTGATAGAATCAGGTTTTTATCGTTGAAGTGAGAACATGAAAATTTATTACAAGTGATCCACGGGATAGATTAGTTCTTAAAAATGTGGCAGAAAATCAGAATAAGTATTTGAATGCGTCTTCATCTTCTTTCATGTATTCGTCACACATTTAAAGGTGTTCTTTTTATAAAGAATTACAGTATTTTCGTCATTACCTCTTGTATGTTCTCAGTAATTCAACGTATTCTATTCAAAATCATCTTTTTTTTGGCTTGACCATAATTATAGGAACAGTAAAGATACTTCATATTGACTCGAAAACTATACAGTTAGATAGAGAAGTTCATTCTAAACTGTTTCGTAAAAAACACTTATGAATAATTTATATTTGACTTTTTCAGTCATTTTTAACTATTTCAAAATAACGAACCAAATGTTTTTTTACGGTCAAAAATAAATGATTGTTAAAAGTTTTCTTTTATGAAACTATTCAGAATGAACTTCTTTATTTCATCTATTAACTTTTCGAATCAATTTGAGATATCTTTGGTATTCTAATAATTTTGATCAATCCAGAAAAAACGATGTACTATTTTCAACTGTATGTTGAAAATAAAGAAATCTTACTTTAATTTCGAATTCATTACATTGAAATGCATTCGTAAAAATATAAACAGTTTTAAGCAGATAAAAAATAAAACTAAGTAAAATAAATACAGAAAAAAAAATTCTCATCTTATAATTAAGTGTACGATATGTATATAGAAATAAATGGAAGACATGGCAAATGCGGAGCGTTTCTTTTCTCATTCTTTCAACATGCTACGTTTGTTTTTACGTACGTCTTCATTGTTTATTTAATAAATCATGATGTAACTTGAAAAAAGTACATCGGGAGTAGAACGAACCTTTAAAAAGGACATTCAAGATGGTGGAAGAATAAAGGTAAAATTTAAAAAAGTTAAAAGTACGTCTAACTCTATTTTGCTGAAGGGTAATAGTACGACAAAAATCTACGAGTTGAAAAATTTTTTTTATCGTTTCTTCGATTTAGATAGAGCTAGAATGAAAATATTGTTAATTAAAATTGTTGTACTTTTTCACATAGAAAGTAAAAGTACAAGTATTTATGACATTTGTTTGCGCTTGGAATAATAAATAATGTACTTTTATAGAATTGACGCACTGTTTTTACTTGTATACCTGGTATTCTTTTTATAACACTGGCGCAATCATCTTAAGTTCTATTATATTGTTCATTTCTAAAATTAAAATTGTAGAGTCAAAGATTTGTTTGAAAATCAACGTCATTGAAAACTGTAACCATAAAAATGGATTCAAATTCTGATTCACACATAAGAATATCAAACTTCTAAATCGATGTTTTTAAAAGTTAATACAACAATACTTGTTTGGATGAAAACGTGTTCAACTAGCACTGATGATGCTTCTACAGAAAATATTCGTTGAACGTTACATTTTTTGAACGGTATAATTGTGATTGTCGTCATATTGAAGATTGTTTTATCTGGGATTCTATTATTAGTTTTGTAATTCATTTGACTCAGCCATAATACCAGCAAATCTTTCGTTGATAAATTCTTCATTTTGTATACAAAATGAGTTTTGCAAGTTATGTAAATTGAATCAATGATACTGAATATTGCTTACTCTTAAGTTGTCGAGTATTTTTTCCAGTATGTGTAACTCTTAAGCATAAAAATCTAAAAGAAGCGCCTGTGGGACACAAACTGAATCAAAAAAAATGATCATTGAGATCAATAAACAATCTTCCGCCTTTATCTATCCAAGCGTCAACTGTAATATTCAAATAGTTGATATTATCAAGTGGGTTTAGTTTATTTACAGAAAAAGCATTGTTTCGATATATGTTAGTTTTATTTCTTGATAATCAATATTTATATAGCATACAAGTCTCGGCTCATATGTCATGTAATGTGGTACTATAATAATAAACTGTCGCTTATCTGCTTAGAATCTCCAACTATAATTTATCATAGTTAAGCTTGTGAATATTTGGTATCATGCAAATATTCTTGTAGCAATCTCTATATGAAAGAATAAAAATATAACATCAATTCATAGTGAATACTAATACGATCGATTTTATCTTCGCAGAAATTTGAACTATTATTATATTATCGATATCTAAACCTTTCTTGAACTTTATTTTGAGTCGTTTCATTATTAGCTAGGCAATAAGCAAAATTATTATGATATAAATAAAACAATTGTGGAATGTTCAAAGCAATAGAAACTTTTTTCAATGTCGTATAAGTCTGTTCATTTGTTGTTCATATCAATTGAACATATTATGAATGAGGGTATTGGGTAGGATAAACGCACACCTTCGGTGTTTGTCAATAGTGCAGAGCCATTCTCATTGATAGTCTGGACTAGTCAGATGCAGTATCGTATATATCTTATCAACACAATCCATCATGACGGGCAAAAAAGACGGCCATTATAGATTAGTCATATCATCTTTTGTTACTATGATTGTGACCTGTCTGACATTGTTAAACTATATCTTATTTATACACGTGAGTTATACGCATTGAAGAGAAAGCAATGAATTTTAACTTATTACCTAACGAAATCTTACTTATTTTCTTCGAATATTTGAAGGGCAATGATCTTCTTCATACATTTTATGGTCTCAATGCTCGTATCAATGCTCTTCTCTACAAACAATATCGATGTTATTTCTTCAAGTTCTCGTCACTGTCCAAACGTAATTTTGATCTATTATGTCAACAACATATACCAATGATCACTGATCGCATTCTTGCTCTTCATCTTTCCGACTCTGAATCGACTCCAGGACAAATCAATTTATTTTTTTCTTATATACCATCATTCAGACAATTCACTCATTTACATTCACTTTCATTATATCGTCTTCATTCAAAAGAAATTCTACTAAAAATCTCTATTGAATTGCATCATCTTGTTCAACTTACTCATTTAAAGTTCGACTTTTGTTGTATTCCAGATTATGATGAAACGGATTTCGAATTGCTGACGAATAATATTTGGAACCTGCCAAATTTAACTCATTATTATTTCGAAATTCATAACAAAAGACAACAATCGTTCATTATACCGTCAAAGATCTCGTCATCACTTAAATATTTATCCATCAATACCGAGCAATTAAACTGGGATTCAGTCAATCGATTGCTTCAATATACACCTAATCTCGAATATTTGCACGGACATATTTATTCTTTTGACGATGATGACAATTATATAGGATCGTCTTTTTCATCATTGACCAATTTAAACATTGTTATTACGGCTCATCCATCAAAAATCATCTCATTTTTACGGAATATACCGAATTTATATCGGTTGGAGATTAGTACGGGAGATTCCCATTTCATTGATGGTCATCAATGGGAAGATCTTATACGTAACTATTTACGAAAACTGAGAACATTTGATTTGTCAATGAAAAGTTATTCATCTATTACTCGATCAATGACAGAGGAACAAATTGATGAATTAATGAATTCATTTCGAAGTTCATTTTGGATTGATGAACGTCGATGGTTTGTTCAATGTATAGGTGATGAACACTGTATTCGTTTTGAGACTGTGTCGAACGCATTTTATTCTATTGGTGACAAGCTTCCTAGTGTGTTCAAATCAACAGATCCACAAGACAATATTGAAAGACTTTATACTACTACGTGTAGTATCTCGGATGTGGAACGTCTCGATCAGCTAATTCCATTGAAGATTTGTATTCCAAACATTTATTCACTTACAATAAAATATCCTATCAATGATCAATACTGGACGATGATTCCAAATTTACATAAAGTCTCATCACTTACGTTAGATTTCTCTACCGATTTTCCACAATCTGAATTGCAAGTTTTTCTCAATCGAATGCCTCATCTTCGCAGATTGACTCTTCATCAAGATGCGTCATTACCTTTGCCAATGTCATTATTCAAATGTACATTTTCATCATCAATTCATTATTTGTATTTACAAAATTGTAAACATTTTTTCAGTGAAGAAGATTGTATTATATTAAGTCATTCTTCATTGACAAGTCATTGTAAACAACTTGACATTCTAGTGAAGAATCGTGAAAGTATTACGATTCTTGTGAACAACATGACCAGTCTCTGTACATTACGTGCTCGTTTTACGGATGAAAAAATCTGTGACATTAGTCCTCCAATAATATGTAACAATGTTGTCGATAAAATTATCCTATGCACAGATGCAGATATTCTATGGTTAACTGATCAATTACCATCAACATGTGCAATAAGTAGACATCCGTTTTGTGTTAATCACATTCGGATATGGATTAAATAATGACAATAATATTTTTATGTAGATTAAATGATCATTGTTTTCTTGTAAAATAAAAGTTATTCCAAATAAGTAGAAAATAGATCAATATCTTGAGTGTGTACATACTTGTTATTTATTTACACTCTTAATCTCATCCGTCCTCAATTTGAAGTGCGCTATGTCAATTTATTTCGTTCAACATTGAAATCAGTAAACATATTTGATATTGCTGATGTTCTTCTCGTTAATCGATTAAACTGAATATTTTCTGATTTTCTAATTTTTAATTAACGATGAAAGAGAAAATGAGAAATTCTATTAGAACTCACTTTGCTGACAGTTTTAAGACTAGAAATTATTTATAGTTGACCAATATAACATCATCATTGTAGAAGATTATTCTGTCAAACATATATGAGCATCTGATTATTTCATTTATAAAACGACAAGATTTGCCTTGAATTTTCAATTATTATTCATATCAAAATCAATTTCAAGAATGTAAGTAACTGAGTTATATCATCGTTAAGATAATTCTCTTTACACTAGTTTAATTTAATAACTTTGATTTGTTCTGTACGGAATATCAGAGTTTGTTTCAATCTATCCTATATTACACGTATAATTTTATTTCAATGTAAACTTTATATATATCAACGTTCATAATATACATTCAGGGGTATCACACACTCTCAATGGAAATTGATTTGAGATGAGAAAGATGTAGAGATTCGTTTCAATATTTCCGAAGCATTAAGCGCATTGTAAGCAATCCGACCAAAAAAAAGAAAAGATATTCTATGTAGTCAAACATCATCTCTTACTTTTCATCTTGTTATAATACAATAGCAAGGCAATTTCACTCAGCAGTTAATATTCAATGAATACATGTGTTAATTTGTTTACTTTTTTTTGAAAGTGTATCATTCTTCAACAAGTACTTGTATAGTTTTAAGTCACACATATTGTGTTTAATATTTATTTTCCTTATCTAAAGTGACGATCATTAATCGTCATATTTCATTTATGTGAGATCTTCATGAAGCACTGCTCGTCTCTCTTTTTATTCCTTCATGTGTGACTATCTCCAGATTAGTTGAATTGAATGTACACAAAACAGTTTTGATTGCACAATTTCAGTCCTAGAGTTCATATCAGATGCAATAGAATTTAGATAGTATTCATGTGAAGATATGCTCAACTAATGATAATGTCTTGTTAATTATTTGTCGTAGAGAGCACAAAGTGACGTTGCACGAGTTCCATCGAGTATGAATGGGTGAAAAATGAAGATAGAAAGTGCAGTTGATTAAAATACTAAATGTCCCCCTAGGACAAATATATAAAATACTTTATTAGAGACGGTTAATTTTATTTAACCCTGATCATTTACTTTCGAACTAATTTCTAGAACATGTTGCAGAATACATATAAAATGATAAAGTACAAAGAAAAATGATCAGCAGGGATAAATATATTATGAATCCGACTGTGATTACATTAGAAGAACTCTATAGAATACAGATATCAAATTCATTTTAAAACAGTCGAGTCTTGAAAAGAGTCTTTCTTTAAATCTTTTAATTCTTTTTTTTAGAGAAATTCTTTTTGATCGATGAACAACAGCTTCTTTGACTATCCTATGATGATAAAAATGTAGAAATAGATAAACCCAATTCGAAAACGACAGTTGAATACAAACAAATGAAATAAAATTCATATAAAAAAACTCTCAGAAAAATTTATACGCAAAAACATAATAACCCCCCCCCCCCCCCCCATAATAATAGACCCCCTGGTCTTCTATTATGTTTCGCACATCGCGCTTTTTTTGTGAAAAAATCCCCCTACCCCTTATAGAGTGTTTTTTCCGATTTTTGCTCCAAAGGGGTCTTCTATTATGGGGGGATCTTTTAATACGAGAGGGTCTTTTATTATGGGGGGGGGGGTAGGAGAAGTTAAATACATTCAAGCATCAGGAAGAGCATGAGACTTGACATGCTGTTAATTTGTTGACGTAGAGGATAATAATCATGCTGCGAATTATCAAAAGCGATGAAATGAGCACTAGTATATAGAAACTTCGTCATCATCAATCTCGATATCTATCAAATATTTTTTTCTGCAGAAGCGAATCTTTTCTAGTTTAGTTTTTTTCCTTTGTAGATAATATGAGTAATACTTCATCAATAAATTTTGCTTTCATAAATCAAACAATTAATCGTTATGTTCCAATTCCTCTTCTTTTGTTTGGTATAATTGGCAATATTTTAAATATCTTTGTCTTTACGCGTCAAGCCTTTCGTACTAATATTTGTGTCATTTATTTTTTGGCATCAACTATATCGGATTCATTTTCTCTTGGTATTGGCCTTGTTACTCGTCTTCTCACTGGATTTAATGTTGATCCAACACAATATTCAAGTGGATTTTGTAAAATGAGATTTTTCGTAACATATTATTCGGCATATAGTGGTGCTTGGTTTATAAGTTTAGCTTGTGTTGAACGATATCTTTGTTCATCAAGAAATGTTCAAATACGTCAACTTGTAACAATTAAACGTGCTTATATTTCTATTATTACCATTTTAATAGCAGGTTTTCTAGCATTTGGTGAACAAATTTATTGTATTGATATTAATCAACAATTACTAGGAGCACCACAACCATGTTATCAATTAAAACGAAATATTGCATGTCAAATTGCGGATAGTTTATTACAATTTCTTTTGGAAATTCTAACACCAGCTATAGTGATGATTGTATTTGGTTCGTTAGTTTTACGAAATGTTCCTCGAAAACATTCTCGCATTAATCCAATAAAACAACCAAATACATTTGCTTCAACAATGGCAGTACCGGCAGTTAATTCACTCAATGCAGAACAACAACCACCACCACCACTAGTAAACATAAAAAATGGTTTAAATAATCAATCATTTTTATCGACAAATATAAATCGAACAGCACAAAAGCGCGATGCACAATTAACTATACTATTAATTATTCAAGTAAATCAAAAATAGAAATATCTTTCTATTAATTTTCTTTGTTTTTATAGGTTACTTCTTTCATTATTTGTTCATGTCCTGTTAGTATGTATAAATTCTATTCTGTAGCAACAGTTTATACTATAAAATCTAGTTTACGTGAATCAATTGAAAATACAATTTACAATGTCAGTGTGCAAGCGTTCTTTCTCAATAATGCAATTAAATTTTACATTTACACATTATGTGGTGCCATATTTCGAAAAGAATTGATGAAATTATTTCGATTAGCTTAACATACCTTATCTTTCATGAACTTCTTGGGATGTTTAAAACAGTTACAAGAGTTAGAGACGTTTTTGAAAATATAGAAGAGATCTTAAAGACTATATATAAACATTCTTTTCAATAACTAATTTATTTATCTTCTTTAACGTTTTGTCATTCTTTTTATTCATGTGATTCTTCTAACTATTGTAATTTTTATCTATGTTGTGATTGTCATATATCGCATACTAATGTCCATTTCGACGTCGAAGAGTCAGTATGTGTATTGTTTGAATAACTTTTGATAGAAGCAAAGTAGAGAGTGGCGTTTTTCACCGTCGAAAAAGATCGAAATGTATATAATCGAAAAATAAATAAATCATAATCATTTCAATGTATTTCAATGAATAACTTGATAAGTGAAAATGAAAAAAATATTGTTATGTTTATCACGGAAAGATTGTTGATCAAGATTCGAATTTTTATCAGTTCTGATCAAAATAAAACACATTATGAAGCTTTGAGATATTATCGTCATTATCATTTCGAGATATTTTCATTTGACATGGTTTTAAAATAGAATAAAATCTTAGTATCATTTATATTCAAATTTATTTGTATAAAGTTTAACTATGCCGAGCTCAGACATTGGATAAACATAGAATTTAAACTCTTTTTCAGCGATATTCATTGCATTATACGTTCATGTTTCATCATATTTATTTGTTAAACCAACTTATTCATCAAACGATTTATATTTTTTGACGATGTTCAATAGAATTCACTTGTATCTGAATAGGGTGTGGGTGGGTGAGGGTGTGGACGAAGGTATTATATGTACAACACACATACACCCACACCCACACCCTTTCAATCTCATTGTTGGACTGTCGAGATATGATAGTTATTTTCATCACAAATACATATAAAAAAGAGTATTGTTCGTCTTGTCCTGAATGTACCAAATCAACATCCTACATAAGAAGATTTTCAAAAATATTCTCAATTGATACTATGCAACTTTATAAAACTTCGCATAATTAAGTAAGAAAGTGTGAATGTGTGAAAGTGTTGAGAAGTGCCATCAGTAGCAGCTTCTGAAGACTAAGCACATAATCTGGCTGCTGTCGGTTAAAAATTCATCCAAATTCAGGACAAATTATCACTTTCATCCACAAACTACTACTAAGTTTGAAATATTAACTGAGGATAGATACAAAATCATTTTAAACCCACACCTATCACTAAGCATACATTTTGATAAACAAGATGAAATTCTTCATCATAATGAATATATTAGTCATGCATAAAAAGCATAAATTTTTATAAGACGATCAACATCTGTTTTCAGTAAAATGTTAATAAAATAAACTTTCATCGGTTGTAATAATTTGACTATATTTACACATCGCTTTCAATATTTGTTTTCTTGTTCAGTTGATGCTTGTTCTATTATAACATAAAGCATTATATACGTAGAAAAATCTAAGAAAAAAACAATTACCGTAGTACGTTTGTTATTGTCGTGCGTATGTGGTTTGAGATGGTTGATTCTATAAGAATGAATTTACAAAATAAAAATGTTAACTCATAATATTTACTTTTGTTCAATATTCTGTAGAATGATCTCTGTCTGATCATGTTTCTTGTGTTTAAATATAGATTGCCAATAATCTTCAGCAATAGCACTTTCACGTCGGATTGAATCACTTACTAGATATTTAATCAATAGAAACTGTATAGAATGTTTTAACGAAAATATACTTTTGAATTGTTGTGGATTATTACTATTCATAGTTTTAATATCTTCCAATAACCTTTCATTAGCAGCTACAAAACATAGATATTGAATAGGAGATAAAATAGATTTACATACTGAATCTACGCTGACTTTGGTATAATCGAAAACGAGTAAGAAAATATTGAATAATAATAAATATGTAATAAAGAATATTGAATGGTGGTGGTAAGAGAGTTTTTCTACTATATTCATTAACAATTAAAAAACGTTGATAACGCCATAAATCATGAGATTGTTCTTGAACATTTTGAACAGTAACACTATAGACAATAATAAAAGTGAAATACTAGTATGAATAGTTAAAATCTTACTTAAATAAAGCAACAAGAACATTAAGAAGAAGAATATTAGCAATGGCAACAAAAACAATAGCCAAAATAAAAGCCATATTTGAATATGAGTCGGTACCATCTACATAAAAATTAGAAATAATAAATGAGTTAAAAAAAATCGATTGAATCGAAAGATATTTTAATCTTTTGATTTTAGAGAACAAGTTTCTAAACTCTTTCATTCATTACATCACTATAGATTACACTAAACTCAATTATACCGATAGGATCGACTTGTCCAAAAACTTTCCAAACACCATAATGAGTTATATCTCTAATCAATTTCCATGTCCATGAATTATTCCTATCAATTGCTACTGTAACATTGACTAATTGTCCATCATCACTATAAATCCAATGAACTTGTGATGCTGAAGTAATTAGTGACCATGATGTTATTGAGAAACCACATAAAAATATAAGAATAAAACAAACAAAAAAGAAAAGATCTTTCATCTATAAATATCACAAAAAAACAAATTTATAGGAAATAGATAAGTATACATACAGTATTGAAAATCATCACTAGTTTAGGCCCAAGTCGTTCGAAAGCAGCAAATAAATGAAGAGTGCCAACAAACCAGACAATTAAATCAAGATTTAGAAATATTCTAAACATTATTTAAATTTACATAAAACATAACGAAGAAAAAATATTTGCACTGTTACTTTGAAATAATAAAAAATGTTTCATTTGGAATAAATCGTGTAATAAATGCAATTAAATATAGAATAATGGCAGCGACATTAATTAAATTCCACATATCAGAAATATATTTATGATATTCCATTAGAATAAACTATACAAAAAAACCAAATCAGAGTATAAATTCATTAGTATAATACTCTAGATTTGTTTTTCTTACTAGACGTAATTCTTCCATAATTAAAGTCCATACACAAACATGTAAAATAATTTCTGTGATTGGTAATGGAAGATTTTTAGTATTTGATTGTTGGCCATAATGAATATTTAATGGTAAAAAATCAATAAGCAGAACAGAACTGAATAGACCAAGAAATAAAACAAGAAATATCTTCAAAAGAAAATCTAATAATATATATTTTTAAGTATAATAAGACCATTGATACATACTACATTATAAAAAAATCGAACTATCGGTGCTTGGTAAAAATAGATTAATTTTTTTGACCATTGAATAGGTTCATCAGTTGGATCTCGATCAGATCTTTAGAAAAATAAACAATTAGAAAAAATGTCATTAAATGTAATTAATTATATTTTGTTTTTACGTTAAAACAGTTCGAATAATAATAGGATTTCTACTCTTCGAACGATTTTTATTATTTCGAATAATCTATAAATTTAAAAAAAAACAAAAATTATATAAAAATTTATTAAAAAAATTGAGCAAACTTGTGGATGTTCATGAACATATGGTAGAAATATACAGAAAATAGGAATCAGCGGAATAAATAATGAACAGAAAAAAATCTAAATAAAAATAATTAAACTAAAAGAAAAGTAAAAGAAAAATGTTACTTGAAGATTAATAGCTGGTCGTTTATAATTGATATGACCATACCTAATAATATTCAAAATATTTTATTTATTTTCAAATAATTTCAATTTTACCATTTTTCATCAAGATATTTTTGTACACATTTTGATGCAAGAAATGCTCGACATCTGGCTTGTTCAGCTAGTTTAAGTGGTTGAACATTATCAAATGCAACAGCAGGTTGTTTTAAAAGATCAACAGCAAAATATTCATCATGATCGAAACATCGATCAATGATAAATAATGCATCTCTATCAAATTGACTATAATATAAAATTTATTTATCTATTCTATTAATTAAATTAAATTAATCTAACTAACCTTGCATTATTTTCATAATGTTCTTTTGTTTCTGAATGAAGTGCCATTGTTATTGCTTGTCGATAGATTTGTGCTGCAATTAATGAAGCAACAGATTGATTCTAAAATAAAATAAAATACTTTACATGAGATGATAAATTCAAACAAAATCTTACCCAAGTTTTTGAGCAAAGATATCTAGCAAGTTCATATCGATCAAGAAAAATAGCCCAAAGAAAAAATTCTCGTCTAGCATTTTGTCCTAATGGTTGATTTTTATTCAATATTATTCCATTTGTCTACGTAAAGAAAAACCATTACTAATATATTAAGAATAAATTTCATACTTGAAATTGATTAGGAAAATAACATGAATAATAATTATTTCTTATTGATAAATGTTTATCTTTATTTTCTATTGGTAAGCCATTGTCGATCTATATAATAATGAAATAAATTTTATATATGCATATAGTTTTATCAATAATAAATACATTTGATGATGTATAGAGTTGTTCAAGATTATTTAAAGTTAATTTTTCTAATGGTGACCCATAATCCATGAGTAATTCAACAAAGTCAACATAATCTCGACGAAGAGCATCGATAAGAGCTTGACAAAGATCACTTTCCTTTTATATAAAAAATCAAATGTAGAACAAATCAAATCAGAACTAACGCTTACTTTCCATTCAGTTATTGTTGCATCAGTGAGAATATGTTTTTGTGCATAATCAAATTTTTGCCATGCCTTTATTAAAAATAATATTTCAATAGAGAAGGAAAAAAAAATAATTATTTGATACCATGGCTAATTTCAGTTCAGCTACTCGAGACTGGTGCTCATCTTGATTGTCACCAGAAAATTTTGCCGCTAGAATATTCACATAATATATAAGTTTTAAAAATCAATAAATGAAAAATGTAAACCATTAATAAGAGCTTCAAGAATAGCTTCTTCTAAATTTCCATGATGCCGATGACTATCAAACTCAAAAATGACTACTAATTGCATCCTTTCATATAAAACTTGACACAAATTATCTTTCACATCGTCGATCCATTTATTTTTATTACTTTTATTTTTTTCAAATCTAAATAATGGAATGAGTATAAAATATATTTAAAATGAATAAAATTGTACACTGAATTTAAATCATCTTCATTCGACGATGATAATCGTGTTCGATATATTTGTTTAACTTCATATTTATTAGTTTCAATTTGAGAAAAAAATAAATGTAAATCAGCCACAAGATCCGCAGCTCTGCCAGATCCCTATTTTTGTATGAAATATAAAGTAAGACCTCTTCGAGATTATGTTCTTTAATTTATTCATTTACCTTCACAACGACTAACGGAGTATTTGATTGAAGTGCTTCGCAAATAGTTTGAATAGAAAATGGTCCACCTTCAGCTAGAATCATAACAGTAGGAATTAATATATTCCCTATTGATGTTTGCATATCCATTCGTCGTAAATATTTCTCAATTTGAGCTCTTTGTACAAGAACAGTATCAACATTAGACGAATTACCATCGAATAATAAAAAATGTGTATGATTTGGTTCTAAATCATAATGTTTACCATCTAAATGTTTAACAGCATAAGATCGAATATATTTGTCTTCTACCATATCCTATTTATGATATTTAGATATACAATATAGTCTCAACAAAAATTCAATTTTACCATTTGAATTGATTCAGTTCGTGAACGACGTTTATGTTTTAATAAATCTATTGTTCTATTCATATTAGTATCATCAGGACTAGGAGTTTCTATATGCTGACATTGAAGTTGTTGATTACCAGCTGTATAATCCCAAGTACAAATTCCAATACATGGAACATCAAGACCATGTTTTCGATTTTTGTAACGATAATTACTAAGAGCTTCACCTACTTCTTTAGCTATGCCTACATTTGTTCCAGATGTAATTAACCATGCATCTATTAACAAATATAATAATAATGTGACAGACAAGAATCTCTAATTTACTTGTTGTAGCAGCAGCAGCAACTAGACCACGTTGGAATATTTTTCTAAGATGTGCTGATATATTACATTGTTTACCTCCACCTATGACAGAAATAATTAAATCAGGCGTTGGTAAACACCATCCATGTTGTAAAAACTCGACAACTGCTTTAGCATTAGTTTGTAATGCCAATCGAATATATTGTGAAAGACGAGTAGTTGAATCAAATTCATTTTCATCAAATTTCAAATAGCCATACTCTTTGGTCACTTCACTAAAACAAATGAAAGTATCTACTTTCTAATTGGACTCTTGAAATAAATATTATTTTTCAGCAATATTTTTAGTGTATATCTGAATTTTGAAATATTCTTTCAATGATATTTTCGATCGAATACAAAATATATTCATTGAGAAAAAATTTTATATAAATCTATTTGTACATACGAAGTGTAATCCGATTGTCGAATATTCAATTGATGAATTACCTATAAAATAACAATAATAGTTTTATATCAAAAATTATTTCTATTTGAATACCTTATGTAAAAGAGATATTTGTTGAGTTATTTCTTTAGCCATATAATTATCAATTTGTTAGAAAATTATTATTTATGTTCAGTTGCATATCAATATATTGATTATTAAGAAAGAAAAGGTTCCTTTTCTTTTTCTTTTTCAATAAAAACGATATACTGACAAAGAACACGTGCAGTACGGTAGAAAGAGAAAAAAAAATCTGTTCTCACTTGTTGATCACTACTTCATGCTCATATAAATATGAATTGCATTACATTATAGTCATAATATTATGAAGAACTGAATAACTGTTGTAGGGAGATAATTAAAAATTTTCATTGAAACAAAAACAAAATACATGAGAGAGGGAAAATTGTCACAAGTATTGAGTAAAATGAAGAAAAACAAGGAAAATTATGACGGTAGTGGTAACAGTTAATGAGAATTGTATACAAGTGTGCGTGATAAATTCGAATGTACTTTTTCATAAAATAATTACGAATCAATGATATGTAATGTTATTTCTCTGATATAGTAAAATTTTATTAGTGACATAACTAAAACAGAATTAAATTGGATATATCCAATGATTTATTCCGAAAGACGTAATAACAATACTGTGATTACAAATTTCTTTTTTGTTGAAATGTAATATCAATTTACTAATTATAATCGATTAGTATTGACATAGGTAAAGAACAAGAAAAAATAATTGTCATGATGAATTTGTATAGGATACCTTTGTATAAACTATAGTATGAAAGATCACGAAAGAATATTTTTCATTTAAAAATTTACTGCCACTAATAGTTCATTGATTCTAGACTTTCGAGTTCATATTTTTTAATTGTATAAGTTAAAAAAATCATCAAAAATGAATTGTCTTTAGAGTAATACAGTAATGAATAAAAAAATTCGGATGAAAATTGATTGATCTGGTATCGCAAATAATATTTATCAATTGGATAGATTCGCAAGAAAAAACAGATGTGATAACATCATTTGTTAAGATAAGAATCAGCACATACAGTGACACATTATCATTTTATCTAAACATGATGTATCAATTACACCTTATGTTGACTATCATTGGTTTTTTTCTACTATGTTAATGTTGTTATTTCATCAACAACAATCTATTATGCTATAAGACCATTTCATGTTTTTATTAAAATGTATTTAAATCTTATTGGAAAAAGGAGATAATATTGTTATGGATTTTCATCTTATGGCAAATATTAATAATTTTTGTACAATAACTTATGATATAAAAAGAAAAATTATATTTACAACATGGCAACATGGATCAATTGATCGAGATCTTATTACGCTTTATATAAATCCTTATACAAGAATATTTACTAATGAACCTCTTCTTCTTAAAACACCTTCTGGATTAGTTGTGGATGATATTTAAGCTATTTACGATGAATATTGGATGATTATCGTTGAGTTTGATACTATGAAAATAGATACAAAAAAACAAATTGAAACAGTACCTGGTTTTATTAGTTGGCAATTATTTATTTTTTAATTTTTTCTGTAAGATTTTTCCAATTTATTTATCTCTTCGAAAAGAAATATATTAATACAATATAAAATGTAATTCATTGATATCGTCTTTTTCTAGCATTTAATAATATATCAATAATAATCAACTGAGACAAAAATATATATGTTTTGTCATGTATACTGAGATCATATACAAATATGGAAATAAATATGCGTTGAATACTTTCCTCATGAAAATGACAAGTATGTCTATAAATTACATAATCGTACGCGTTTTTTTGTATTTTTAAAATTTTTCTAATGTATATTTTACGAGTATGTAGACAAACAAAGAATAGGTTATTCTTACATCAGCAGAACGACAAAAATTTATATGACCTTAGTTGTCTGTAATTGTATGTTTGTTAAATACAGTGATGCATAAAAGACTTGATAGGTAACTATACGAATAAAGAAAAAGTATTCTTATGATACAAGGCACAAAGTAAAAAAAAAGGATGAATGGATGTGTGTTTGGTATTTTTACACTACTATTATACTCGCACGTATATTCACGTCTACCTGTACTCATACTAAAATTTTAGTTCTGTTTTTTTATTTGATTTAATACATCACCATCATCATGTTAGGCTCAAGTTCGTATGTAAACTCGAAATTTTTGAAAGTAATCAGACATAGAATTTGTATCAATGAAGAAATTTGGAGTGATCGATCAGACATCATGCATTGTTGCACACCGACACTCAAGATTTAACTGAAACGATATTCGTTGAGTGCATTAAGACACCATACGGATATTAATATTTTAGTATTGATTTTGTAAAATAATTGATGATTATAAGTATCTTAGCATTTTTCAGCTCGGTATGCTGTAATAACAACAAAAAAACCACCGATCACTTATCGGTATGTGCGGTTTGTTTGATGCACTTGAAGTGGTTCTGTTCTTTGCCTTGAATGTAAAGTTTGCACGATGCCTTTGTCAAACTCGTACTTTATATAATGAAGAAGAAAAAAGAGTATTGGTACTTTTATAAGAAGGAGAAGAAATGCATATATTTGATTATGTATTTTTATTTTGAGTATTACTAGACGAAATCATTCTCTGTTAAAAGCATTGAACAATCGACGCCAAGGTAAGAATTGGAAGTTTGTACGATACATCAATTTATATTTCAGTTTTCTATTAATGATTAGAAGAATACTTCTGATGGATGAAATTTCTATCTGTAGTATTTATCAGCTGTAAATTAATTACGCCATTCAATAGACAAGGACACAGTATCTTTTGTTAGTAAAACGGTATTACTATACGAAAATATCACATAAAGAGTTCGTTCTTGAGGTTATTAATATACTGACATATTTAAAAAGTAATAAGTTGAGATTTGTCTTATTTTACTTCAAAAATACAAAAATCTTTTATTGCAAAAATTAATGTATAACTTTTTTATTAACATTGATGAAAAGTTATGATTAAATTAATTTTAGCATTAAAGTGCAATGAGGGCTTCACGCGAATTTGATATGAATGATCCTCACAATGGAAGAAATTTTCGTGACTTGGACGATATGCAACCAGCACAGCCTATATTTTTATCGGTAGGATCAAGATCATCTAATCCAGAATATCAATATGAGGTACCAAAAAGTGATGCTAGACGGCAAACTTCTAAATCGTAAGTATTTTAAATTTCTTTTATTATTTATAGAAAATCTGTTTCGAACGAAAGTACTATACATTCGATCTAAAAACCTGACTACCGATATCGTTGAGTGCAATGCGTTTTTGAATCACAGTCTTTCAAATAAGCAACGTTTTTTTATAAAAGGTAAATGAATCTATGATAAAGAAATTACTTAGGTTTGTAGATAAGTTCATATGTGATCAATTAGCTCGAATGAGAGCTCTGAGCTTACGAGTATCAAAATCAAATTTTTATATATCATCACGAGAGCAGCAATAGCCTGTTTATTGAAAGTTGTTTTAACTGATAAACACTAATGTCTTTTTTTAACATTATAGTGGACGTTCTGGTTTTTGCTCGAAAGCATGTATAATTGGACTTGGTATTGGTCTGCTAATTGGTGCAGTGGCTGTGGTTGCTGCTGCAGTTCCGCTTGCACTGGTCTATAGACCTACATCACGTAAATAAACAAGTAGTAAAAGCGCTACTATAGCATTAGTCAAAGAGAAGAGAGCGACTGAAAAATACATGTGTAAAATCAATCAAACTTGAAAAAGTCTAAAAGATCAAGATATCACACTTAGCATTAATAACTGTTGCATATCTATGGAATTCTGAGGAATAGTTAGCAATAACACAGGAGATTTTTGAGTCTTTTGACAATAATTTACAACTAGAAAGATTTCATGTATAACTATATCGAGTGTAAATATTAGTAAAACTGTTTCTTTTTTTAAAATTATTTTCATAATAGGTACAGTTTCTTCTACACCTAATTGGATCGGTACATACCAAGCAGACGGTTCATGCATCACAACCCAATGTTGTTGTTTTACCAATCAGATTGTATTGTCTCAACCTAGTAGTTCTGTTCTGCAACTGGCAGGTAATGTTACTGGTGTATGTACTAACGTTGCATCTACTATTACTCTAACACAAGCGTTGCCAAGTGGTTTTCAATTGTTTCTATCGTGGCTTGGAGAAAATATTCGTGTTCAATTGAGTCAAGATAGTTCTTTCATATCGTTAGTGAATCTGGGCGCTCCAACCTGTAGTGCTGGTGCATTAAGATCATCGTACGGTTTTAACATTATGGAAAGCACGAATATAAGTTTAGTTCTATTTCTCCTATATATTTCTATTAGTTTAAATGTGTATGATAGAATGTAAATAATCTTAATTTTTTCACATAAGAATGTACATTGTCAAACGATTATAAAAACCAAACTTTTAGAACAATTCTTTATCAGATTGTTTTTGTGGATTTATCTATGCTACTCATTCAACTAATTTTTTAACTTTGGCAAATAAATGACTATGCTACTATCAAATTACTGAAAAAACTCAAGTAGATCTACTGTTAGTGTTATAACCCTTTACAGTATTTGTAGTTTAGTACTGTTGTTTATTTGTCAAAACAATTTTTTTATCAAAATGATCAGAGCTGATGACTTGAAATTTGAAACTTTTTGTGATTCTGTAATCCATTATCATCCTATAAAATATTATCACTACGAAAGAGTCAATATTATCTCAATAGCTGAATATTTTTTTTTATATCTATCCAGTGTTGCTTTAGTTATTTTTATTTCTTGTACTTTTTTTGAATTTTGCTTAGAATTGTGTGAAAAATAAATTTGCTAAAAAATGATGTGGTGCAATTCGTTTCTTTGAATATATGAGAATCCATATAGTGCTTTTGTATATCTGTCTCATCAATTATGTGATTTAGGATAGTATATTTAAAAATTATTGAATAATTCTAGAGTGACAAAGACGGGCACATATTTAAGCGCCGAGTAGTTTTAAATGGAAACTAGGTAAAACATTCCAGTTTTGCTAAGTATTTTATACAGGGTATGGTAAGGTCTGGGTCTGGGTGTGATTGATGTGTATATGTTTTATACATACCCACACTCAATCCAATGTTTGTGTAATGTCAGTCTTTATACTATTGACGAAGTTGTGGAGCTGCAACTATTTTGGTAGGATCTTGAGTTTGTGGTTGGACAGAACGTAATCGAATGAATTTTTTTTTAAAAGAATCACGTATTTCAGGTAATCCAATGAGGCACATAAATGGGCAGAGTAGACAAATCATGTATTGCAAGTAATTAAGAAAACCAGTTTCTATTTGAGATGAGAGAGGGCTTGAAACAATCAATGGAACAATAAAACAAATAACATTTGGAATCCAAATGATGACGTACATTATCGAAATCGATGCTAATTGAACGACCATTTTACGATTTCGTCGCCAGATTTCTCGTTGATGTACTCGCCGTTTTTGAATAAGAACACGAACAATAAGTAGTGTTGTTGCAATGACACCAATACTTACAGGACCAAAAACATTAGAAAGCCAATCAAACAAACCAAGAGTAAACTAAAAGATAAAATTAGAAGTGTTTTCCTTAATAGATTTCGTTTACATATTCAATATAAATATGCTAAATGTTCACTATCAAAGTCAATATCACAGAACTAACCTGATATTCATAACATCCACCTCCACAAACAAATTGTGTATAATCGAAAGTCGCTTCACATGGATAAATAACAACCAATCCGAAATACAACAAAAGTGGATAAATCAAAAAGATAACTAATGGAGTATAGTGAAAGAAAATGAGATGTTGCTGAAAAAATACTCGGTGAAAAATCAAGAAATAACGTTGAATACATCCATAAGCCATGTACATTAAACCAATAACAATGACTGAATAATTGTATACAATCCAAAATTGACAGAATAATGGTGATTGAATAACAACATAACCTGTATGTAATACAGTCAATGTAAACGGTAATTCTGTGGTGACCTTTAAACAAAAAGAAATATTAGATTTTAGTAAATGTTAAATGTACAGATGAGTTACTTCAATAAAATTGATGAATAATAAAGCAAGAATAATATGATTGTTTATTCGTTTAAGTAGTTCTCGATATTGAAGAAATTGAGAGAAGATAAATAAATAACACATAATCGAAGGAATCATCATACTCAATAAAATTCCAAATATAATCAAATGAATCAATGGTGTGTCGAATTCCATTTACTTCAAATGGCATAAAATTTTACTTATACTTAGAAATAGAAAAAGAAAATATGGTTAACAATATCATCATTATCATTAGAGTTTTATAATAATCCTCACATGTCAATCAAGGCATTATACAGAAATGATTTGTCATATTAACACTGTCATTTTTCATATTAAAACTAACGTCTAAAGTTCATTGAAGTATTCTCTTAAAAGTACAACCGGTGTGAATACGATACATGTGATGTTTTAAAAAATTTCTATTGAAATGATAGAATTATTAATTTAATGATTCATAGAAGATGACTTTGAAATAATTTGAAATTCTATCAATCTTTTTGAATATATTCTGAAAATAAATTACAAAAGATTATTACATATGGGTAGGTTACCATGATCAGATACGTTTCTAAAGCTTAATTCTTCTTAAGATTATTTAGGAAATCTATTTCGGTAGTTTACTTAACGTTGAAAAAACACGTTGATTCAATAGAATATATTAATGATCAATAGATTTATTTAATTATGCAACTATTTATAGTATCTCGAGAAGTGAAGAAATTTTTTTCCATTGTTCATTTGCATACTTTCACAGTAGAGTAACGGAATCTGAAATGTAAGGATCGTGACATTTATTGTTGAAAAACATGTTGAATAAATATCATTCATTCAATTATTGAAATGACATTTTTTACGTCTGGAATTTATGAAAAAAAATGCATAAAATAATTAAGTAAACAAAATTTTTAAGCTTATTTTTTCCGAAGATGGTTTAGTGTCACTCAAGAAATTAATTAGATTTCTGTATTAACAGAAAAACTTTGACATGTTCAAGTTGATTAAATCAATTATTTTAGATGTTTATTTCGCAATAAAAAAATAAAACAGCCTGTAATAATTCTAATTTGTGTACAAAGTATTGGAGAAGATATCTGGAATATGTCAGCTGGTTCGAAAATAATATTATAAACTGCATTTTCATTTCTTGAGGGTTCAGGTGTGTGAATATACATATATCTTTCTAATCTTTACATCCGAACGAACGTTATTAACCATAGTAATTCCAGCCTATTTTAAACGTGATACTCACAATATATCTCTTCATAGAGTAATTTCTTAACTCCTGCATCAAGGTCCCGCAGGGGATGAGGGGAGAGGACAAGTAGTCCCTACACTAGTTGAAAATTTTATATTTTTCGATCGCAAGTTTAAAAAATTCTCAAAATGATCTTCTTTTTATTTTTATAACAGTTAGTACAACAAATGAGTATTACAGAATGTTCATTACAAATAAATTCAGAACAACGATAACATTGAATTGAAGTTGTTTTGTTTTTAGAAGTTTTATAAATCGAAGAGTGGGTGTGGGTGAGGATGTGAACATTTTATTTAACTCACATTTACACACTCACCCACACCCACACCCTTATTTAATTTCATCAATATGATTTTGAATTTTATAAGATTCGAACAGCTTACAGAATTCGACTAATACAATTTCTAGCATATGTGATCTTGAGAATGGGTGTGTAAATGAGAGTTAAATATAATGTTCACAACCACACCCACACCCTCAAGTAAACCATATTTCTGCTGACATATTTCGATTTGAATCTTTTAAGTTCATTGTATTTGTTTTTTGAATCAATGTTATACTTTTTCTTGTAATTTAACTATTTTTTTCTGTGTCTGAGAAATATTTTGCTATCGAAAGCTAAGTCTCTCGATAAGATAAAAAATGAAACAAAAAATTATAATTCCTGACGTGATAGTTATAGTCATTAAGAAGGTATTGATTCATACTGTCGATTTCATAAAACGAACCGATAGAAAAATTACTAAAGTGCATCAATGTACTTTTTCATATGCCCTACATACATGCGTTCGTTACACTTCAGATTGCAACAATTATTCTTCTTACTCAAAATAGATGTCCGTAAGAAAAGTGAGTTAATAGCAGAACATAAATAACACATACGTACAACAGTGGAACAGAACGAAAGAGAAAAATATAACAAAAAAAGGAAAAGTACGTCACTATGCAGCAATTGCTTTACTTACCAAATTTGTTTGCATCTTTCTTCATTCAACATTTTGATTGCAACACATTTTTCGGCGTTGTCAATGTATATCGACATCGCGATAGTTTATAGACCTTGAAGAATTACGTTGGATTAAATATAAAAAAAATTCATTTAGCCTCAGTCTTAATCAATTTTCAATTCATATATTTGAAAAATATGCATGGTTTCAATTAAATACATTAAACACAGTTGCTTCTTTCTAAATTAATAAAATAACTAAGAGAGGAATTTACATGTATCTAGGACATCGCTTTTTGAGAGACTTCTCACCATTAAAGAGCCACACTACTGTAAAACGTTTTCTTAGAGGAGCAAGAAGACTTTAGAATCAATAATTTAAAGAATCTAGTCAGGAAAATTTCAAAAGATACCTCATGTTGTGCCAAATCTTAGAATTTTCTTTCTAAAATTTTCAGAGTATTATGGTAAACTCGAAAAAACTAAGTTTAACTTATTTTTCCTCTCTATCTCTCTGTTTGAAGGCTCAATAAAGCATTTTCTGTTGATAACATCTTACAAATAGTTCATGTTTTGCACGTCACTACATTCATATGTGCGTCAAAAATTTATATCAAACTACGCCCATAGTATCCTGTCGTTTCACGAGATTAAAACAATACAAAAATAATTGATTCAAAATTATTTGCATGTTGGTTACCATTTAAATTACATTCCTCTTTACTCACGTGAAATCAGGGAGACACAGTTGATAAAATAAACAATCATTCAATGTTCTCTGTTCCTTGATTTTTCTTCCATTAGTGTTGAAAAATAATCCATTAAAATTTTGTCTTTATTTTTCGTCTCAAAAGCAAACATTCCATGGTTAGGTGTGAATGCACTTTTCTCATGAACTCTAAAGGACAAACACACACACGTATAAAAGTAGGAGAAAAAAAGTACATTCTATACTCATTTTAGAAACACAAACGTTTATCTCATTATACAAAGAAGAAACAACAGGTGAATACTAATAATATGAAGCGCGTTTTGCGTTTTGCTTTGGTATTTTTGTCAATATTGGGTATGGTGCTTGATGGGGCACATTTTCGTGGTGGTATTATTTCATGGTAAGTATACTTAATTAACGTTTGTTCTTTCATTCGATCTAGCATATTTTACTTTTTACATTCTTCTTCATCTTAGGCGTCCGTTAAACAATACAGTAACAGGCAGTACTGCGCAAATTCAAATACATCAAAGGTATTTTTGGAATCGAGAATGGAGCAGTTTTCCTACCCCTTATTGCACGGAAGCGAATGTTGCTGCTCAAACAGTTATTAATGTCGGTTCTTATATGACCTGTTTAGCAAACTGCTCAGGTACTTCCTATACTCAACTTTCAACCAATATGATAACTACAGATTGCGATTCAAATCCGATTATTGAGTCATGGGCTGGCGAACACTACGATGTTGAAATATTGCCTCTGACAACATCAATTACAATTGGTTTTCAATCAAGTGCATGGTTTGCTTCACTCTATATTGGTGCTAATGATCCCTGGTCTATTGTCAATCGATTGAATTGTGCTCCGAGACCTGATGGTTTACTTAATTCCAGTCCTGTTACAACTACATTACCAGTAGTATTTTATCCAAGAAATACACGAGTAACTCATGTTGTACAAATGGCAGATAATGATGCTACTGATTATTTGGTATGTCGTTGGTCCAACTCGGCTTCTGGAACCAATTACAATCGTGTTGATGAATGTTCAGGTGTCTGCAGTGGACTACCCCCTGGAACTATACTCACCGGAGTCAATTGTACGTTGAGTTTCACTCTACCAACTGCTAATCTCTATTATGGTTGTGCACTGCAAATCGAAGATTTTTTTAGCTCTAGTTACGCGAATCCAATGAGCTCAGTTCCGATACAATTCTTATTTTATTGCTATACAGCTGCAGCTGGTGCATGTGCAACTGCTCCTTCAATTATTGGTGTTCGTCCAAATAGAGGTATGAGTATATATTCTAATTTAAATTAAATTCTAACATTTATTTAATTCTCTCTAGCTTGCATTGGTGTTCCAGTTGGTAAGTACAGTGAATGAATGCCTTTTCTTCTCTTATATTTAAAATCAATATTTTAGGTGTTCAGCTCAATGAAACCATAGAGATACAAACATACTGTCCTGGTCAAACAATCGTTGATCTTGTCACTAGTTCACCTACTGGAATGACACATAGTGCTATTAGCAATCCAAGTCCTAGTAAGTAGTGGATAGTAGTTCGTTAGAATGTGTAAATTTTTCAATTTCAAATGTAATATCTTAGATTTATGGATAATGACATTAACATGGACACCCATAGCATCACAAGACGGTCCTCAAGGTTTTTGTGCTGGTGCAATTGACAATAGTAGTTTACAATCAGCTCCATGGTGTATCACATATCTAGTTGGCTATGACTCACCGAATTTAATTCGTCCCACATTGGTACAAGGATCAGCAAGTCCAATAGGTACTGTCTTTTCAAACCAGACACTCTTCTCCATACAAGGTAGGTAATTGTTTTCCGCATGTAGTCTACCTTTATTATTAACTTAATCTGATATTTTTCATTGTCTACTTTAATTACACAGCAACAAGTGCAGTTGGTCGTCCTTCTCTCAATGGAACAAACATCTGTTTTCACTTGGACACTACAAATGCATCAGTTCTATGTTATGATGCTGGATATTCTCCAAATGTTATTTATACTGGATATACAATTGTAATTGTTACAACTATAACATGGACACCTGGTCAATCATATTATGTAACAATGGATAATGGATTTGCTAGTGGAAGTGTCTTTTGTCGTAAGTGTTTTGTATTTTTTTGTTTTCTTGAAAGTGAAAGATCAAACACTTTATCGTGATTGATGTAAATCTACAGATGCTGAATCATTAGCCATTACTGATAAAACGTTTTGGCGATTCGATATCTGGGATCCAGCACTTTCGAGTACAACTACAACAACCACTACTCCACCAACAACTCATACAGTTACAAGCCTAGGAACAACTACTACTTCCATCAATACTGCAGTAAGCTTATTTAAATTGTCATTTTTTATTCTTTATATTATACTTTTTCATAGTGTACAACAAGTGGAATAGTAGTAACTAGTACGAATGCTTCTACAACTACAACAACTATCACTACTACACCCCCAACTACAGCTGGTAAGAAATGACATTTTCAATAAAATATATTCTTTTGATCGAGTACTTTATAATTCACTAATTTGTATTCTAGCTCCAACAACAGCAGGCCCGACTACCACAGGCGCAACAACTGAATCAACTATTCCTGTTTTTTATCCACTAGATTTCGTAAGTTGTTATTCAATTATGATTGATATCCTAGACATAAGTTTACATATTTATATTAGGAAAATGCATGTAAACAACCAGTTGCAATTATGTCAGCTGTTATGATGGTTGCTTTTATGCCTGTACAAACTCTGGTAATGTATGCTGCTTTTACAAAGTTCACGAATATGTTCAAACCATCAAACACCGCTGCAAAAGCAAGACATCAACAACGAATGAAAAATATTCTTCGACGTTAAAGACAGTTTTCTTTTGTCTGGAACATTTGAGATTTTTTTTGTATATTGTTTTATTTTATTTCATAATTATGCTGTTAATTAAGTGTGAAACTAATCTTTTTTTTGTTCCCAACTAACATTTTTCTCTATTTCTCCCCAAAACTATTGGTTTGAGTGTTTTGTATTTGAATATTGACATTATACTAATATTTTGCTTTTAATAAAATATATATATGAATTAAAAGACAAAGACTTGTAACTAAATCGTAGGATGGTATATAATAAGAGCAATATCTGTAATAGAATCGTTCATATCGCTGGACCATAGAAAACAATGCTTTTGAGAATGATGTGAATAGAACAATCTTGCTAGAATTATCTATCAGATGTTGTGAATCCATTGAAACTCTGAATATAATTTGAGAGTATGAGTATATGTGGATTGTTGAAACTGTATAATTTATTTTCATTAGACCCACACCCATCCTGCTTATTTACATATTCAGAACTATGGTATCGAATTCATTTGTATTTGTTTGTATTTAGTGCGTCAAATATTGGAAGATTCGCATTGATTTCATAGTTGTTCTGTTTGTTTAATTTGTATAGAATGAAAACATACAACAACAAGACATTTGCTATCCATGCGTCTTTCGTTTTATTGTGTGAATGAGAATGAAAATATTGTTATGAAGACCAAAATAATTTAAGTTGCACAATAAAATAGAAATAAAGAAAAGAAAATATATCCCATGATTCTATTTTACAGTACTTTATTTACCTTACGTTTTCACCAACGGTGAGGGTAGCTATACCAAACGTAAAACAGCTCGATCCATCTTCTCACGAAAAGACAAATATATTCAGTTAGACATAAGTCTTGCTTTTCAAGAATCAATCGTAAGTCGAGAAAGAGTTCTTTTTTCGAGATATCCTTGCAAATAATCAACGAAAAGAATGTGAAGTTTTAATTTTGTTGACAATGAAATCACTCATAAAAGATCTGCATCTAGATATCTTTAATGCCGTAAAATTTCTCTTTTTATTCAACAAATTTTAAAAAAAGCAAGTTATTCATAATCCGAATACTAAGTTCTATCGATTTATAAATGTGATAACTAAAATAAAGAAAAAATTGGCTTGTCATGAAGTATAGAATAAAGTTGTGGAAAACGGTCAGAATTTATCAGGCTATTATAATGAAAATTAGTTTTTGTCTAACGTGAAGTCATATAATTATGTTGGTGAATGTATCGAAATTAAAGACATTTTTTTTCACTGATTTTAAACGTCTACCTATTGATTTATTGTACTCATTTTAAACAAGTTTTTTTTGTCATGAACCTTTAGATTATGATAGATCTTGACCTTTACTCGTTTTCTGATCAAAAGATTATATTTTTCTTGAATTATGTATAAATGTCGATATTAAGGACATTTCGTATACCTAGCCATCCAAATATATATAATGCTTTTTTTTCTTAACATTGAACTTCACATTTCGTATTCTAAATCGATAAGCAGGACTCAGAAGTTGTTCTTCTTCATCGTAATCAGAATATGGTGATATATCATTACCGTTGGCACTCTTGCAGATAGATGGAGTAATGATAAATAAAGTATTTCCAAAACTTTCAGCTTTAGTACGATTTCGGCTGCATGAGGTAAAAGCTTGAAAACTGCGGTGTGAATTGTTGCTGGTTGCAACCTCCTTAAATTTGCCTCACGATAAATGGTTCCCATAAACGAGCCTACTAGACGTTCGAACTGAATTGTATTCATATCTAGAAGAACAGCAAATGGACTCAACGTCGATATTTATTGCCGCCAAATATGTCGTTGTTGCTTATCGTCAACAAGTCTCATAGCTTCATTTAGTTTCTTGTATAAAAACTTTCCATTGAGTACAGACGAGCACAACAGCGCCAGATTTCTTCAACAGAACCGTTTTTCACTTTGAATAATTCATTAGTCATCCATTGAGCTTCACGCTGTCTTCCTAACTTCTTACCTTCTTGAGCTATGCCTTCAGCAGCTGTCTCGACAATATTCTTAAAAGACATGTTACTTAACTGTTGTTTAGTTGCAACGAGAAAAATTGAATCAGTAGAGGCATGACAAAATGGCATATCCGGATGTATAGGATTACGTATAAATCGATCTTCTCTTAGTATTTTGTCTCTTGTGGTCTTTACTTCACGTTTCACAGGTACTGATTGCGGATTATTGTTGTTGTCACTGGAGATTTGCACCTGATGGACAAAATCAATTTGAACTGTGTCCAAAATGACTTGATCTTGTTTAACTTGAAAAGCTTCTTCAATCAAAATGTTCTCAACATCGGAATATCTGTACCATTTAGGTGGCTCATCTCTTGTCTGCCAGAACCATTCAATGCGTGCAGGAAACTGCATCACAGTTGCTTCTGCCATCATAAAATGATGAAAAACAGTCAAATGAAACTTCGACTGGTAGTATGTGTGCTGCTGTATTACACAAGCAGATAAATGTGTTTTTAATGCACATGGGAGAAAAACAACATGAATTATATTGTGAAAAGGAAAGCAAAAACAACTCAAAACTATACGTCTTCATAATGTGAACGTGAGTATCTGAGAGGATTCAAAGTTACTTACAATGTGTCTTATTCTTGCTTAAAAGATTCGCCAAATAAATTTGAAAACTATGGTATAAGGTATTGCAAAAAGGTTCGCTACTATTTTTCTATCAATATATCTTTGTAACTACTTAAGCAACTACAACAAATAAATAGTAATTTTAATGAGTATTTCAATGTGTACTTATTGTGTAAAAATAAATATTCTAGCCCAAGAAGTAAGAGCCAGTAAGGGAAGTTACGGATGCGGGTGTGAATCTAGGTGCCACTTAAATATCAGATTCACACCCTCAAGTTAGACTTTACATCACGTCATAAGATTTGCGATTTTTATGCATAATAAAATTTAGATTAGTTTCTTTTCTTTTATATTAACATTGTCTTTTTGTATTCTAGAAATATAATTCGTTTTTTACTCTTTATTATTTGTCTATAATGCGCGCCAAAAACTTGCTTAAAAATAAGATCAATGTTAACAATGAAAAGGAAAATTTAAGTGTTTTAACCAATGAGTTTTATTTATTAATCTATTATGTAATAATTATATTTAAATTTAGGTTTCACTACAAAACATTTACAAATAATTTCAAATGACAAAGCAATAACTTTCATTGGTTCAAAAGAAAAAGAAAATCAAGTTGTATCAGTAGTTGATTGGTCAATGACGGAAAAGATTTCAACACAAGAAGTATTTATGATTTATGATCACCAAATTCAACTAAAAATCAAGACATAGAAACGAAATCATTAGTCCTTGAACATATATAGGTAACAGATGATGATTTAAAACGTACGTATTTATATATCTTTACGTAAAATATCTTAAATTGATACATGTAACGTTTAATAATAACTTAGGTCAAAAACGAGCACTTGAAGATATAATTAATATATATGAAAATAAAAAATCTAAAGGATTATCACCCGAAGAATCTACTAATGGGATGATTGAATTAAGAAAAATATGTACTGATCTTGAAGTAAAAGTCAAATATTTAGAAAGGAAATATATGCGTAAATATTTTTTTTATAGTTTTTCATACATTTCTTACGTATCTACTTATTATTACGTGTAGTTATTCCTAAATAATAACAGAATATATTAAAAAAAGAAATATCATGTTTATAGTAGCTCAACAAAAACTTATTTTTTGAAAAAAGTTACATTACCTTTGGAAGCTAATGCTGCATCAAACTAACTTTTCATTTATTTTAGCTCTACAAGATGATTCAAATGTTATTGGATATGATACAAGCTTCATCAATGAAACAAATGATCCTAAAGAGAATGATATCGTTGACAAGAACCTTAGTATCCTTGAAGTTTTACAAATTTTAGCTATCGATGAAACTAAAGCAGTAAAACATAACAAACTGCTACAGTACAACCATTAATTCGATATAAATATCCAAATCCAGATAGAAACTTGTTAATCAAATAACATTTTTATATATTAGAATATGAAAATGTTTATTATCCATGTGACGCATCATCAAATGCAATACTCAAAAAACCTATGGGAAATTATTTGGCTACTTATACACACAAAAAAAAGAAGGAAACAATGACTGATACTAAACAAAGCATCGAATAATTCTAAGATGATCTGAAAAAAATAAAAAGTCTGTTAATATGTTTTTTACAAAGATTTATCTTTTTTTTTATAGCTGATATCAATGAAATCGTTTTTTTATTTTTAAGTATCTGATCTCTTCATCCCTTTTCTCAAACACTTACTTATTTATTTTTTCAATATTACCTACATTGTTTCAGGATATTGATCATATTCTTTTATTTCTTCATTTATAACCAAGATAATGTATTGGCTTATACCTGTTTTTTTCTTTATTATAGTCATTCCCTTACTTTCTTGAAAAACATTGTGCAACAAGACAAACGATTAAACATGAAATGCATACTTTATATATTGAATTTAAATTCTCCTATCAGACTTTTCTCATCTCATTCATTGGTATATTAAGATAACGTTCTATTTATGTACTTGTGGTCAATTGATGAATGCTGAAATAGTTTTAAAGTTGCAATCTTGTAGGTATGATGAAAAAGGCAATATAAAAAACAAAACAAAAAATAAACTGAGAATGAGGATGAATAAATGCAGATCTTGATGGTGTGGCTGTGGGTATCACATCTGTATCACATTCACACTATTATTTATAATATTTTCACACTACACTTTTTGACTATAAACAAATGTACTAAAGAATAGATTTTTCGGTACATATACCTGGCCACACATCTATTTATTGTCGACCATGTATTGCTTGATGTCAAATACTGTTAAAGAACGAATCAATGGACTTTATAGACGTTGCCTGAGACTTATCTATTGTCTTTATCAATGCTCCACCATTGATCTACATGATACTTTTGGTCTCCCCACATTAACATCAAGATTTAAGAAATGCTTGATAAACAGAATTAGAAATATCCAACTCTATGAGCCTGAACTGATTTCTTGCTATATCTCAAGGAAGAAAGTCGTTAACATCATGGCAATTCATTATTTGGAAAGAGAATGTATTCCTTGGCTACAGCAAGGAAGACCCAACAATAAAATTGTTTCAATGTACAATAATCAAGAAAATATGAATGCATTCTTCGATAAACTATTAAATTTTATTTTGATTAAACATGATCAAATAATCAATTTAATAATACAAATGGCGTACATTCTTTTCTCAGGCTCTACATCATTCATCAATTCGTTATGGCTCTTATAAACTATATCATTAAATCATTGTCTATCAACCTCTGATATTGCATTTTTCCTTTTCGTCTCATAACCCCACCTCTATACTAATTTCCTTCTTATACGTATTCAATTCAATAACAACTATTGTAACTTTTGGAGTGGTCAGGACTCAGCGAGTCAATCCACTTTATATGAGCAGCTCAAATAAAAAAAACTATAAACACATGTAATTAGATAAATAGATATTTATTGTACTGAAGCAAACAACAGAGACAGACGAGTACAAAAAAAGGGTGTGCGTGGGTGTTGGTGTGGGTGTGAGTTAGTAATAAAACTCTCAGCCACATTCACCCACACCCACACCTCACACCCGCAAGATGGACTTTCATTATTGATCGAAACTGGCAAATAATCCTTCTTCTTACATTTACCAATTTTTTCTATTTCGTTTGTTGTCATTGATTCTCAAAATAAAACTTTAATCATAAACATATATATTTCTACGTAACTACATCGATATCTTGATTTGCAACTATTCGAGATTTTCTTTTCAAAAATTGCTAGTTTCAAAATTTTTTATTTCGAGATTTACTGTTTTTAGTAACATGGATTTTTCGAAACTTTAATTTTTCGAGCTTTTCTTTTTTCGAAGTTTTGTTTTTCATGCTTCTTTTTCGAGATTCTTTTTGTCGAGCTTTCTACCCAATACCGGTACATCAGTAGAGAATATAGAGGCAACAGCTTGACCTGATGCTACAATGACGCGAGCGGCAGCGTTGAGATTAGATTGTATCATGATGAAGATCTCAATGAAAACTTTACGGATCATTGGTAATATCGTATATACGACACTGTTGAACGATTGCAAGAGACATGCATAGAAAAAATGTCCTATTGAGTAAAGCGCATAACCAAGTGGATAAAAAACGAATTGATTTAGTTTATCGCAAAGCATTCGTCCGATGTGTATAGCCAATCTACCAACTGGTTTAAAAATTTCACGATAGATATATAAACAAATCTTAGAAATCACTCGACAGAAAGGCAATACAGTATATGCTGCATAGAATGCACAAGCATCACGAAAGGAACCTATCGTGCACACCACGCAGGTACGAACATGGCGACCAAGTTGTCGTAAACAACTATCAATTGTTCCCATAATGCTTTTTACCCATCTGTATAATGGTGTTAGGAGCTCAGTATAAACGAACAAGCCAATCTTGACAATACACTTGTAGAATGGCAAAATTACGCCAGTCAAAATGAATGTACATAATAGATATAGAATGTTTTGCCATATCCATATGCATGCTAATCGAAATCTATGAAGTAGTAATATGAGAGTGCAGCGAAGTACGATATAAAGTTCGTTGATCCATTTATTCGTATAATGCGCGATTGAAAGAATACAGTTGCGCATGAAGAATGCAATAGGTCGGAGTATGTTCTTATAGAATCGTGCCCACAACCTGATGAATTGCGTGACGATGAATTTCAGAATGTTATAGATAAGAGAAAGCATAGTACTGATGAGAGAGAGTATTGGCGTAATTACGTGTAAGTAGCATATAGAAACGGTTGGTAAAATTATCCATTGATAGCACCGAACACGGAACCATTTACTGACATAATGCACGACTGGAAGAATGTAAGTAAGTGTAAAGAATGCGATAGGTTGGAATACGTTCTTACAGAACTGGGCGCCCAAATGCAGAACATATATTGGAAATTTAACGCACACTAATACAAGATAATAGAAAATATGTGTGACTGCAGAAATCGAGAATGTAATTAAGAGTTTGACTGTGAATCTTGCAATGCGATAGGTAAAATAAAGGATAATACCGATGAGAAAGAGTGGTACTTTTAACGGCAATAGATAGACTGGTCCCTTGAAGACGTTGTGAATTTCACTGCGAGATCTGAGATTATTATGTGATCGTAGCAACATCTTACTCTCTTTGTGTCCTATAATAAAATTGCATTGCTTTTAATTATTAAAACTACTTTTTCTAGGTATAGTGAAGACACATTGGGAAAATCACCACTGAACTTCGTCATTTGTCACATCGTATTCTATATTTTGATAAGTAGAAACTCATGTCTTCTTTGCGTTTTCGTGTATTATGACGTCTATTATAGCCCTAAGAAGCAAAATAACTAGGTCTTTTCGCTATTGAAGAGAAAATAAAACAAATTTAACGGTCAGTTACTTTCTCCGTACGAACATGTTATAAACGTAGAGTGACTCTGAAGATAGTTGCAATGGACTCTCAAAATGATATCGAATTTCAACCATTTCTGAATGAATATGTTTCTGAACTGACAGTGATAGACTCACGTTCTTGCTGTCTGTATTCTCATCTATCTACAGTTTGTATGATGACACAAAGATATTAGTCTTTTGCCCACCTAGGTTCAACATTATTTTGACACGTCATTCCATTCATATATAAAAAGTTAAGTGATTATTTCCTGGATACTTGTCAAAAAGCTGCTCGCATATTCCTCATAGGATTGAAAAGTAAAGCATGATCAAGCTGGCATCATCATCTTGGGGGTGAGGATGTCGATATTCACCTCTTCTCTCATTTTAAACTCACACTTACTCTCATCTATTTAGGGACAACACAGTGGCTTACGAAAATTGCGTATATTTCTACAATACAACTTTAACAATAAGCTAAGAATAAATCCACGTCGATCTGGATTGATTCGCAAAAAACACAAACCTGGAGAAGTTACCAAACTCGTCGCCGATTCGAGAATTGCGCTGCTGAAGATATCTATGAAAAAATGTTGTTTCGATGATATTCAATTGTACTCTCAGTATAATACAACAAAGAGATAATGCTCAAGGCAAATATAACAACAACATGAGTAGTTCATTTCTCTTTCTTGGAGAATTCTTTTTTTTGCTGTCTACAAAAACATCATCTGAATCATATATTCGTAAATGACATCATTATGATGATGACGAAACGACGTCGTTTATGACTAACTCAATGAAGAAGAAAAATATAAGCATTCTCCATCACATGTAAAATACAGGAAGATAACGTTACAGTGTCTTGGAAAATGCATCCTATTCCACAATGTTGAACATTAAAGGAATCGTTTCCGTTCAATTCCGGGAACTCGATCGAGACACAACATATGAGACCCAGTCGAGACTGATCGAGTTCGACCGATTCCGGAATTCCCAGCGACTCCGGAATTTTAGGAACTGATTCCGACTACGATTCCAGAGTTGCACGAAATTCCCACCGATTCCGAAAGTTGACGGAATTCGATTAATTTTCTAGTGGTGTCGGATGTTATGTGTCGATCGATTTCCCCGAATTGAACGGAATCGATTCTGGTGCGAAACTGGTTCCTGAAATATTCAACATTGCGGAACAGGATGACTGCTCATACCCTCAAGATGTCTATGAGTAAGGGTGAGAATTCTTTGTTATTGTTATAAATAACAATAACTAAAAAGTTATTATTATTGATAACTATAACAAAAAAACGTTATTATTATTTATAACAGTAACAAAAAAAAGTTATTATTATAAATAACAATAACTTTTTTTGTTATTTGTTATAAATAACAGATAAATAACAAATAACTTTCATTTTTGAAAAATATCTTTTCTCACCCCATTGTATATTTTAATTGTGTCCGTTATGTAAAATTACATTTTGGAACGAATTTTCTATATTTCTACTACTGATTTAGATGGTTCAATCAAGATATGAAGCTAGCAGAATTTTCAGAAAAAAAAGTTATTGTTATTTACCTGTTATTTATAACAAATAACTATCATAAAAAAGTTATTGTTATAAATAACAATAACAAAAAAAGTTATTGTTACTTGTAACAAAAAACAAAAAAGGTTATTGTTATTTATAACAAATAACTATTAGGTTGACCAAAAATTTCTGCAATACTTTCGACCTTCAACCTTTCCGAAAGTGTTGCAGAACTTTTTGGCCAACCTAGTAAAATTGTTATTGTTATTTGTAACAATAACTAAAAAGTTATTGTTATTGTTATTTATAACAACGAGATAACAATAACTTCTCACCCCTATCTATGAGTACCTCTGGAATGAACAGAATAAAGATATTCATATCCATACCTACACTTCTTTCTGTAGTCGACTTTCTCCATAACGTTTTTATGTGAGACATGAACGTTAAGAAAGAAAAAAAAGCAGTAATAAAACGTTACCTACATGGTGAGAAATGCATGCATGCTGCGCGATACTCACCTGAATGTAAAAATGAGTATTGCAAAATTATTCTTTTTGTTTTTCTTTTGAAAAATATGTGACAGCGCAAGTGTACTTTTTTTCGTCTTACAAGTTTACAGACGCATTTTATTCCAATAATAATGTAATCAGTGACGACGTTAACAGCATTCGCCGAATAAAAAAAACGAAAACGCCGTATGATGAGTGTATGTAAATTTGAATTGCTGTCAAAAGATCGAAAACAAAAAGACAGAAAGAAAAAATCTCGAAAGGAAAATTACTGAAAAAAGTAAACCGCGAAAAAAAAACGTCGAAATTAATAATGTAGAATTTCAATATGTCGAAAAAATAAAATTTCAAAAATGTAGGATTTCGAATGATTCAGATTTCGAAAGGGTATGGGTGTAAACATTACCTCTATCACCAACACCCACACCCTCAAGAAATATGGAGTTATATTAAGAAAATCTATGCACTATGTTACTTTCGTAAAAGATATTTCATCTCTCGTTCTGTGACTGCCACGTATGTGTAAATCATGTTCTGATGTAACTTGTGCAATTATAGTTGATGCAATCTTGATAAATTTACCAAGTATAAATAGAAATCAGCAATTGTATATTTTTACTTGTAAATCTTCTTATTTATAGCAGTGGTCTATGAATTCATTTATCTCATCGATAATTCGAGAACTTAAACTAGATGATAATCGAATTACAAATATTTATAATTATGGTTCATGGGTATACGGAACTAATCATGAAAAATCTGATCGTGATTTTCTAATTATTATGAAAGACACAAGAAGAAAACGACGAAAACGTTTAGTATTTCATAAAGATTTTGATTATTTTCACAAATTTAAGTTACATCGACTGAACAGTTGTGATATTACCATTCATTCGTGTAGAAAGGGGGTGATCGAAAATCACCATTTTTAACACACGCTAGAAATGTCATAATACGAAAGTCCTTGTCACCTAGATCACGAATCTGACATCCGTTTGTCTAGATCTGATCCTTTTTTTTTTACCAATTTCCGTAGGGGAGTATCTGAGTCTAATATAGGGTAGTTGTATGGGATGTCAAACAAATTATTCAGAAAATTTTCTGGGAAAATTTTCTTTTCCCTCAAACTTTGTAGAGCTTCTTCTGCTGATCATTTTCGTATAAGGAAGTTTTGAATTCTGTTGAGAAATAACGACACTATCGTCAAAATAAAAAACATGGTAAAATAGCTTAAAATCCCATTTTTTACCTTACAAAATATAGGAAAAAGTCGAGTTTCTAATCTCGGACCGACTATATTTTCAAGAAATATGATATAGTAGGTTTTAAAGAGCACAGTTTTCTCTACAAGATCTCCTATGTCATATTTCTTGAGAATATAGCCGGTTCGAGATTAAAGACTCGACTTTTTTCTATATTTAATAAGAAAAAATGGGATTTAAACTATTTTACCGTATTTCACTATGTTTTTTATTTTGATGATAGCGTCGTCATTTCTCAATAGAATTCAAAACTTCCTTATACGAAAATGATCAGCGAAAAAACCTCTACAAAGTTTGGGGGAAGAGAAAATTTTCTGAATACTTTACGTATTTGTGTTTAGAACCCCATGGAACTACCCTATAAGACCTAGGTACCCCCCTACGGCAAACACGGCAAGAAAGCGATCAGATCTAGACAAACGGATGTCGGATTCGTGATCTAGGTGACAAGGACTTTCGTATTATGACATTTCTAGCGTGTGTTAAAAATGGTGATTTTTCGATCACCCCCTTTTGAATTATTATTAGAAAAAAATTATATGTTAGCTGTGGAATGTATTTTCTATCCTGATGAATTTATTTTAAAAAATCAAATCGATTACAAACAAATCTATTTAACAAAATATTACAATCCATTTCGATTGAAACAAGTTGCATTCTATGAAAATCAAGACAGTTTGAGATATATTATTTCGAATGATGAAAATAATAAATTATATGATACTCAGTTAAATCCAGGGGTGTCCCGATGGGGGGCCTTTGGGGCCGCGACGGCCCCCCAATAATTATACTTTTTTTCGAAACTTAAAATTTACATATGATATTGTGTTGTAGATAAAATACTTGAGTATAGAGTGTAAATACAGCCACTCAATAATATTCATCCATGTCAAAGTGTACTAACAATAAAAGATCTATTCCTCATGAAAGAAGCGTTGAAAATATTCATAAATATTTTAAACCATTGAATGACCTTTCAAATCAAATAATTCCAACACAATTACCATCATCATCATCTAAACCACCATCATCATCTGAATCATCGTCTTCATCAGAAATACAACAAATTTATGCCAACGATGCTCCAACAAATAATACATCTGAGTTTTCTCAATCCATTGCCAACACTTCATTATTAGTTGATAAAATTTCGCATTTATCAATGAATAACGAAAAAATAGCCTTATGTAATTCTTTCAAACATATTTCAATTGCAGGTGCAGATTCAATTATATCAGATGAACCTGTCATGGTTCTTCAATCAAATGTTGATATTCAATCATTTGACACATCTGTACCTGATCGAAGTAATGGTAAAAGCTTTTCTTCATCAATAAACCATTGTTTATAGTTTTGTTGATATTCTTTTATCTTTAACAGGTATTTCTTTAGTTGTACATGGTACATCTGAAAATAATGAATTAAATCAACGTGATATATTATCTACTCATTTACTGCAAATTGAATTTTATCTTAAATCTTGTCAAAATTTAATAAAAGAATCTACTCGTCCTGATATTCCACATAAAGCATTTGTTGAAAAAACTCAAGCTTTTGTTATTGAATTAAAAAAGATTCTTGATCCACTTGATGCAACCTGTCGTGAACAAATTGAAAATATTAATGTCGAGTTTTCTAATATTGATTTTATATCTACCAAATCAACTGATAAAATATCAAGAGATCCTGGTGAGTAATTTAAGTTTCATGAAAAACTTGAAATATTTGTTTTTTGTAAAGCTTATTCGTCTGCAAATGGAAAATTTACAGAAGAAGAACTTCGATATCTCGTTCATAAAGGTCCAATGCAACCGGTACTAAAAGACTATCCAAAAAATGTCATACTAGCTGCACAAAATGCAACATGTAAATTTGCTAGCAAATGGTTCAATGAATACCCGATGTTGGAGTACAGTCAAACGACTGATAAAGTCTATTGTTTCGCTTGTCGTTTGTTTTATAAAGGTATGTGGCCATCCTATGAAAAGAATTTTATCATTTTCTTATAGGGCCTGGTTCTGAAAAGGTTGATCTTGCGTGGATCAAAACAGGTGTTCAATCTTGGTCGAAAATGAAGGGGCGAGGAAAAGATAGAAAAGGTATTGCGTTCGGTTGCTTCTTCATTGATTGTATTTGGAAACTGTTCATCTTTCTTTAGGCAAATTAGATCAACATTTCACATCGTCTAGTCATTTAGCATCAATGTATCGATTATCAGTTTTTAAAAATAAGTATGCAAATGTTGAATGTTTAATGGATGCAAATAATCGTCTAGCTAATCAAAAAGAAGAATCAATACTTAAAATAAATACAAAAATAATTGAAACATTTTTTGATTGTACGTTATTCTTGGCTAAACAAGGTCTTGCGTTTCGTCGTGATCCGCAAGAACATGGTAGATTTTTTATCAATATGATATTTGATCTTATTAATTTTTTCCTTTGTTGTAGGAAACTTTATTCAACTTATTCATTTACTTCGTCGTTATGATCCATTGTTGAACTCTTGGTTTACTGAAGAAAAATTTAAAAGCCACCATGTAAGACTCATAGATACTCAATCTCTAAATTCACTAAATAAAAAGTTGTTACCAATTTCAAAGAGTATTCTTAAGTCTCCGAAACATGTTGTCTTTTTCATTGTATGTACTGGTTATATTAAACATAAACCTATCGTGCTCTAGAGGTTTTGATTTGTATTGTTTCAAATATTTATTTTAAATTACTTTTTTAGATATCTTATACAAGTGCTCGAAGTCAAGATAAATTCATCGAACATATCGGTAATTATGTTATTGGTTCTATCGTTCAACAAGTACAAAATGCGCCGTTTTATTCAGTTATGATCGATTCTACTCCAGATTGTAGTCATCGAGAAATATATTCATTAGTTATTCGATATGTTGATAATGATTTAAATGTTCATGAACGTGTTATTTGTTTAAAAGAATTACCATCAAAAACTGGCCAATCTATTTGTGATTTCATTCTTCATATACTTCATAATTATCATATCTCAACTGATTGTTTAATCGGACAGTGTTACGATAATGCACCGAATATGTCCGGTTGTAGACGTGGAGTTCAAAATTGTATGAAAATTGCTCTTAAACGTGATATTATTCATATACCGTGTGGTGGTCATACAGCAAATCTTGCTGTAAAACATGCTTGTGAATGTTCCACAGAATATATTCGATTTTTTGATTTAATTGAAGAGATATCTGTATTTTTTACTAGTAGCATTAATCGGTATCATACTCTTCGAACTCAAATTAATTCATCTACATCTGCTTTAACTGTAAAGAATTTATCCATTACCCGATGGTCAGCTAATTATGAATCAATTAATGCTATTTGTCGTTCGATACCAGAAATTACTAATACATTTAAAATAATTATCAACAATATTGATGATAAAATTATTAATAATACAGATGATAAACTTACACTAGATGATAAAAAAACAAAGCAACAAGTATATATTCTTATGCTTGATTTTTTAACGAAAACTTATTTTTCTTTTTTTTTCAGAGTATTAATTTAGAAAAAAAGTTTCTATCGTTTGAGTTTACTTTGTTGTTGCATTTTTTAAATCAAGTGACACAACAAACTCAAAGTCTTACAAGTCACCTACAAAAAAAAACTCTTGATCTTGTTACAGCTTCTCATCTTTTACTAAATACAAATAAAATTTTACTAGAATGGAGAAATGATGATCTGTTCTTAGAAAAATTGATTAAGGTAAATCAATGTATACGGCTGGAATATTTCGATAAGAAAATAAATATGTTTACATGTAGCTTTAAAAAAATTGAATTTGAATTTATAGAAATAATCACACTCAATCATAGAGATCCAATATTTATCAATTTGATTGTTTTAAATTGAGTACGATGATACTATTGAATTATAAATGAGAATATTGAGCATTATTGAGCATTATTCTCTTTTACTATTATTTTAGGAATGTGATGATCAAGTTTTGAGCAATGGTGTTGATATTGATAGTGAATTTTCTCGGTATCATCATCAAAGATTACGCTCTATAAAAAATGATTCGAATTATAAAACCGGTGTCCGTTTAAACCGGTACAGTAATTAATGCACTTATTATTCTATCTATAGCAAATTTGTTTTAGAGTTGAATATTACAAGAAACTCATGATTGAGATTCTTGATTATATAGTTATCTCATTAACTGATTATCATAAAGTAGTCGAAGAAAAACTTCAACATTTTTCAACAATATTACCTGGTCGTATTAATCATTTAACTCTCGCAAATGCTAATAAAATTACAGAAATTGTACCAAGTATTTCAAGTGCTGAAATTTTATTTTCAGAGCTTCAGCTTCTCAAAAATGACATTGATGGTGTTACAGAACTACCAGAATTTATTAACAAGTTCAAGTTAATTGCAAACGGATATCCAAATGCTAAACGTGTTTATCAATTTATTCTTGCTTTACCAATAACAGTAGCTACAAATGAACGTTCATTCTCAAAATTAAAATTAATAAAAAGTAGATTGAGATCAAATTTGATGCCTGACAAAGCTGAATGGTTAATAATTGCTTCAACTGAACGCGATCTACTCGAAAATATTGATCTATCAAAATTTGCTCAAGAATGGTCCCGTCTAAAAAATCGACGGGTAAAAATTGTATCAAATTTGTAATATATTTTTAAATATTTGTTCTATTTGTCATACTCTGAACTTGTCTTTGATGGTTATTTTTATGAATAAAAATATTCGAACAGATATTTATAAAATAAGCTTGCAATATATTTTATAAAAATAAATTTATACTATTTCAAGAGAGTTTTACTAACCCTTTACGGCCGGCTACCAGAAGACAACAAGCAAAAAGTTATCTTTCTATATATTCTTTGTTATTTAGTTATAGGGATCAATTTTTCACTGTATACTTTTAAAAAAATGCCGTACCCCCTACGGCAAAGTTGTTGCCATGTGGCCGGAAAGGGTTAAGTACGGCCCCCCAATCTTGAAATGGTCGGGACACCCCTGGTTAAATCCAAGTATTGCTCAATTTTTATGGCAGGCTGTTCAAACGACAACTGTTGACGAAGATCGAATATTGAAATATTTATTTCATGGTATAAGATATTTGAATATTGCTGAACAATTAATTCGTACAAAATGCATCTATGATTTTCGACAAGCATCTTATATTTTGTTCGAAATGAAAGATATCTCTGTGAAAAATAATCGAAATATTGATTTTGTTGTTGATTATATTCGAACGTGTCCTACTATTTGTCAAATAAATGAATACAATTCGATTGATGTAAATAGATTTAATAGTGTCTTTCAATCATATGGGAAGATATCCTGATATGATGGAATAGATTCAAACATTCATCGACACTCAGTTCAAAGGTTTAGATATTATCAGAGTGAAAATAAAATCATTAGCATTGAATAATGATGTACCGGAAAATGATCTTGATAAAATGTTATTTTGGGATAACAAGTCAAATTATTTTGAATTTTATCATAAAGTATTGACTAAATCATTATGGCAATTACATAAATTGAAAAATTTTTGTCGAAATCGACACCTTCATTTAGCATCATTTGGAAAAATATCAGGCAATGAAGGGTATTATTTTGTTATATTGAGATTATTTAATGTTGGCAGAGAAAAAGCATTAATTGAAAATGATTATCTATTGAAATGTCTAACAGCTAATTATTTTCCGCCATTAGATATCGAAAGTAATTTTATAGTTTACGATTCAAATATCAACTTAGATAATGAATGGAATTCTGATAGATCTGAACAATCAAAAATAAATTCAACTATAACCAATGCCAAGCAGAGATATCGAATTGCTTTTTTCAAATCGAAACTGCATTCCATCGATCTATTAATTGGCTACTCGACTCTCTGGACTTGTTTTTTTTTTGTAATATTGTGCTATTTAATTCAGAAAAATATAGTTATTTTACTATATATTATTGAGAATACGATTTTACAGTACTAAACGACAAAAAAATTATCTCGAATAGAATGTAGGTGTGATAAGTAGAGAATCGCACCAACATCCTCTCAAGATAGCTTGGAATACAAACAATAAAACTAAAATTAATGTTTCTGATAATGAATATGTCTAGTCATTTTCTTGTTGTTCTTCTATCTCACTATGATGTTCCAGCTCGATTCGACCAGGATCGTGAGATTGTGGTATTTGTACTACTGCTGATAGATGTCCAGTATTGTTTTTGAATGTACTCGTATCTGTTATTGGTTGAATGCGACCAGTGTTATTTAACCATTTGCAACTGAATGTTGAATGTAATAGATTCTTTAGTTCGCTACGAAATGTACGCGATGACATCGTATATAAAAAGAATGATGAAACAGGAAATAAATAGATCATTGCTTCAGCTGTAAAGGCAGCAAATCGTTCAATAGCTATACGTTCAATTGGTTTATTCGAAATATTGAATGTCACGGCAGTATAAATATAGATGATCATCAAAGGTATTACTGATATGATATAAACAATTACTTGTGTGAAAAGCATAACTAAAAGTTGTTGATCTCTTCTTTCTGCTTGTAGATTGACTGTGAGTTGATGACGTTGTCGTTTGCGAGCAAGATTACGACGAATAAGTAAAGCACAACTGAACATGATGATAGTCGGTAGAATACAGGACACCATTGTTGTAAAAATACTGTGGTAAAGCGCCACACCAGTATCGTATAAGATGCCACACGCACCTGCTCTTATATTGTAAAAAATAAGAGTATGTACAGGTAAAATAAGCCAAACAATAACTATAACTCCTATAACACGGCGTGCCACATATACTTTTGCAAAATTTCGTAAACGTGCATTTGTTGACGAAAGTGCATACCGATCAATACAAGCTGCAGTTAATGACCAACGATATGTTAAAGCAACAACTTGACTTAAATAAATACGTAATTTGCAAAATGCAAGTATTGTTGTATTTGGATCCACATGATCTAGTGTATACATACTTGATCCAATTCCCAATCCTAGATTAGGTATCATCGCTATAGATGCTGCTAAAAAATCTATTTCAAAAAGAAAACAAGCAATTTTTCTGCATTGTATTCATTTTATAAAAAATAAGAATGTCCTACATGTGCAACAGGATATTGCTCGAAATTGTCGTTGTGAGAAGAGAAGAATATTGAGACAACATCCGATTATACCTAATATAAGATATAATGAATATACATAACGAATAGTTTGTTGTTGAATAATAATCAATGTACTCATCCATGACGACATTGTATCAATTGAAATTCTAGTAAATACAACAATCATCATAACTGTTCTAGTAACAAAATTTAAATCTTCGTATTGTATTATTTCATACCTTTAAAGAAGTTGTTTTAGTTTTGATCCGTTTGTAAAATGAACTTTAAGATAAAAAAGACGTATCTGTTTACCTTGTTTAATAGAAATGTCGAAGTAATAGAAGAAAACGTACTTAGCAAAAACTTTACTCGTTCTGATTCTCTTCCTGCAATATAATTATAGCATTAAGAATGCAGTTTTTTCATGCTTTGAGAATAAAGATACATATTATTTTTAATTGTAGCGATCTGTTGATAAAATAAACTGGTATTCTAATCGAACGCATGAACGAAATGCCATTCCTGATAAGATCATTTTTAAATAAATTATATATGCGAGATAATTTTTCATACAGAACTATTCGCGTGTATCCAAAAAATTTCCGCTAATATATCTTACATGTTAGTTTTCTCTCTGTTTTTCTAATAACAAACTATTATGACACCTGTCTGTTGTTATTAAAAGTATTATTAAGCATTCAGGAGAAAAGCAAATTGAGAAACACCTTTATATTTATTTTTCATATTCACTAATCGATACATATATTTAGTTAATATTTTTTCGAAAAACGATAAATGATAGAATTATATAATATTATTTATCTTGTCATATTTTTCATATCGGGTTTAATTCTCTTTTGATGATAATCAAACGACAAGTGTATTCAATTGAAATAAATCGATATGTTTTTATGATAGTCAACTACAGTACTATTAAATGAGAAATTTATTTTAAGAATAATACCGAGATTGAGAGTTTGGATACAATTCCATTTTCACGTACAATTCATAAAAAATGAATCCACATAATATAAGCAAGTGTCTCTCATCCTAATACAAATGATGCAAATCAATGAAACTGCATACCATGAAACATTCGAACATATATTTTCTGGTATGATTAAATTATCAATATAAAAAAAATTACTCACGGGTCTCAATAATAGGATCTTAAGGGTGGGTGTGAGTTTAAATGAGGGAAGAGGTGAATAACGACACCCATACCCACATCAACAAAATATTTGACGTTCTTTTTGCAAAAAATTTAATAGTGAAGGAAAAAACAACACTGCAATGTGCAACATCAATGTATCTCAAAATAATCTATTTAAATAGTACTTGTAAAATGATCCTGACTTCGTAAGAAGATCAAAATCAAACAGAATCGACCTTTTTCTTACTATGATTCTATTTCAAACTCTCATTCTGAAGATGTTAGACTACTTATGAAATGATTTTTTTCTTTTTTCTGTTAGTTTTATTAGCAAAATTTAAGAAAGTTTTTAGAAAGAAAAGCAGAAAGACTGTTTATTTATCTCCAATATGTCGGTGCGACGCCACGAGTAATTTTGCAAGCATCATTTAATGCTTGGACGACTTCATCCGGCAATGGTCCTTTTGATAAGTTCTCTAAGTTTGACTTCAATTGTTCAATACTACTCGCTCCAATAATAATTCCGTCACCATCGAACGCATGTAGTTTCGAATGATGTACAAGCCATCGAAATGCTGTTTCAAGCAGTGTGAGATTATATTTTTCAATCACTGGTGTAAGATGGTTAATAGCCTCAAAATACGCCTCATTAAAATATCGATCACGGTACGTTTTTACCATTGTCTTTCCATGAGCCTCAGAAAATCGACCTTCTTTAGGATCTTCCGACGATGATGCATATCGTCCAGAGAGAACACCTCCAGCTAGTGGATTGTAGACAAGAATATTAATTCCATAGTGTCGACAACAAGGCTCAAGTTCTTCTTCTAAAGCACGCGTTAGAACATTGTACATGCCTTGGTAAATTGTTGGACGAATCCATTTATGAGAAATGCAAATTTCCGCAATTTGTGCCACTTCCCAAGCAGCATAATTACTCAGTCCGAAGATCTTGAATTTACCTTCTTCATGTAGTTTATTGATTTCTTCAAGAGTTTCTTCATATGGAACACTTCGATCTGGAGCGTGAAGGTAAAAAATTTCTACCGATTGTTGGCCCAATTCTTTTAGACTTGTTTCCAACGTTTGACGTAATTTTTCTGGCTTATGCATACCAGCTTCTACTGGATATACCTTTGTAGCTATAATAAATCCTTCGTTAAGCACACCTGTCTCTCGTGTAAAAGCTTCTTGTTTGCCATCACTATATAATCGTGCCGTATCAAGCTCAGTATAACCATATGATTGTAAAGTTTTGAACATCTCTCGTGTTTCATCTACAGTAGTAATTCTGGCGAAAGTTGTTCCTTGAGGACCCATTGTTGCACAACCCAGAACAACTCGAGGAGTTTTATTATTTGTCATCTTATAACAATAATGATGAACTCTGGTAACTGGTACTTACTTTGAATATATTCTTGTGTTTTGTCACTCGTTTTTTTTCTATGGTAGTTTATATACATACATATTTGACTGACGACAATTTAGAAGGAGAAGAATGAAAAAAAAATAAATGAAAACGTGTGAATATGTTCTTCACTCATACTCTTCTTTAGAGGATCGTCAAGGTCATTAAAAACCACTTTAGAGTCCGAAATAATTTTTCCAAAAATTTATGATGGTTATAAACCGAGTCGATATTTATAACTCAATGAATATGCATAAAAAAACTTCGAATTTTTAAAAGTCATGTTTGTACTCAGAACTTCGGCAACTTTAGATTTAGCACATCCATAGTTTTAATATAAGGATACTTTTGTCCTTTGATTATGTACGTCACTGATAAAATGAATAAATAATTATTTTTAATTCAATCTTTATAAGAAACTTAACATAACAATTCTTTTTTCATTCGCACTCATCGTCATACTCTTCAATTCCTTGCATGTTGATTGTTGGAACATTTAACATTTTTTTCAATTGAAGTTATTTTGGGACAGTTTGAAATTTTCTATTAGACTCGAATGTTCGCTTCGTTATACGCTCAGTATATGCATTTCAATTTTCTTGATGATATCATTAATATATGATTGCTTTTGTGAAGAACTATATAAAACAGTAACTGGATATTATGTCATAAAACAAAAGAAGAATGAAAATTTTGTGATAAGTTGATTTTATTTTGATTTTCATTCATCTCATTACCAGAAAGTGCTGTTGGTTATGCAATTAAGATTAGTTTCTTATTTTACATTCTGATATTCTTCATTGTTATTTTTACGAAAACTACACCGACAAATCGATCTACACCGCATTCAAGTTTATTCTGAAAATATCAATTTTACCTTTGAAATAATCGACTTTAGGCACAATAAAATATTGCATGTGTATACTGTGAATTCATAAATAATACAAATCATTTCAAATATGATATAAACAAACACTAAAAGAACGAAAAGATGTGTTCAATTTATCTATATATCTTGTCGATTAGAAACACAATGAATATATCAATATTTTGATAAACAAAATAAAAAAGATTATGTTCCTTTCTCTCTCTCTCACTAACTTCATCGTTAGCGTTCAAGAGGACTGAAACAAATAATGTTGAATCAAGAAATGAGAAATATATTGCACATCTAGAATGGAAAAATAGGAAATAGTTTATAATCTTTTCTCATCGATTGATTGATTATGATTGTATATAAGCGTGCCTAAATATTCATTTTCTTTATTATTATGATATTTGTCTGTTATATCAAATATAGTAAATATTTTATTAATTCTTTAGGAGTATTCTATCACATTCGTTAAAAGAATAATTTGATCGAAAAACATTGCGTGTTGACTTTATTCAAGCTTTTTTATTTATCTACTAAAAAAAATAAAATTATACTACAAAAAATGCTTGTCTCAACGTACTCTTTTGTCTAATAGAAGATAATAACCGTCCCATGAACTGACTGACAACCTTGTAATCTTCTTTTGTCTATTGATGTATTCTGAATGAACATAGTATGAACGATAAACGTCTGCAATGATTTGCGGAACGATCAACTAACCAGAAATGCTGCTACTGCTCGAGCAAAGTGTCGACAATCATTGAAACCAACTTCGTAAACTCCAAAAATTTGGATTTCATTCATGACGAAAAACTGTAACTCCAATGCTGTTTTGTAACATTTTTTAACAGATTCACTGATTGGCCTCCATTCAGCTGGTCCAATTTCTACTGTAATCGGTGAAAACTCTCCTGGATAAACATCAGCAATTAGATGAACCGTAAATGTGTGTCCTGATCCAGTCTGAAGAACGACAAAATTATGATGAATAAGAGTCTCATATACGTAAAATCGATGAATGATCATATCATTCTGGAAAAGAACGGAGCGACGATATTGATTGATTGCGCGACCATTAAATTCGCTATTGGAAGCTTTAAGACCAAATAGAGCTAAGATACTGACCAAGGCTCCTATACACTGTACAAGTATCTCGCGTAGTACTTGATAAATAATCATTTATCTGCAAAGCAAAGTAGTACACTTATATGAGCAGTTGTCTTTTACCAGGCTAAATAAATTCTTATTATAGCTGATATATTTCGAACTGATGCAGGAAACTCTAAAATCTACAATAAAACAAAATAGAAAACCATGATATAATTTTCTCTGGAGTATTTAGTGAAAGTCATTTTATTTCAAAAAAAAACTAGTTGATAAGTTAATATCGACTTTGTCGTTGGACTCTATCGTCTCTATCATGGGTAATATTTTACTTCGTTTTGTACCCTTCAGGAACAAGCCAGAACTTGTAATAGCTATGAATATAGTGCCCATATATATCAAATATTTATTTCTAGAATTTCTTCCCTATCAAAAGATGATACGAAAACATCCGTTAGTGTGAAAATAATATTTCGAATAATTGTCTAGATTGTAGCACAGTCATAATCAAAACTAAGGTTAACAACTAATGATGCTAGTTTTTCTTAATAAATGTAAAAAATTGATTTTTCGAAAGAGATGATTGTGAAATGTCAGATTATAGATCATTTTTAATTAAAAAGCAGCCTCCTTCCATTCGAAAAGAACCGATTACCTTGATAAATAAAACAAAACTACAGATCTCTCGAATGAATTATATTGGAAAAAAAATTTACGCAGAAATTCAATGGTGGCACAAAAATCGATTTTGAGAAATACGCTAAAGAAATGATTTTTCTTCGATACTATTGTAAATCAAGCTGGAGAAAGCAAATATTAGATGTTCAATAGTACTGCTAATTACAGAATATCTAACTATTCTTGTCATAGCATAACTACTGATAGATAACATTAATTATTGACTCTTGTTGTTAGGACGTTCTCATGGTTTCATAATATAATTTTAGTAATAATTGCTTCGCAATTTTCTAAAAAAATTCAAGATTCAATCATATTTTTTTCTGCTGAAAATCAATTTTTTTTGGTGAGAGGGGGTAAAATCCTAATAGGCTTGTTTCTATTTTAAGCATAATTCAAACAAGTAACGTACCACGACGAAGTGACTATAATATAATATATATTGGAAACTTTGTTTCTAAATAATAATGATTTCATCCACTGTTATGTATATGTATACTGCTATATTTGGTTATTTTTTTCAAATTATTGTTTTTATTTTTGTATCAAGGTAAGTTTCTATGTCTTGTTATATGTAATTTTCTTTTATCGTGTACTCTATCAGTAACGTATATATACAAGATACATACATTATATATAGAACAATTCGAATGTATTGATTGATTTATAGTGCGTCTAGCATATGAAATAACATCAAGGTATATTCATATTTGATATAGAGTCGAAAAGTGTAAAATATTTTCAATAAATCAAAATCTTTTTTTCTTGTATTTTACGTTTACATATTAATTTAAAGAATTTTTCAAAGTTGCAGTTGGAATTCATATCTATGTAAGTGCATAACACTTTAAACGATTGAAAAGATCTTTTCATTATTTTGTAGAATTTATTCTGAAGTTTCATACAATAAAATATTATTCCATTTATTCTTGACAATGATCGGCATCATCTGACACACATAAATCAAATTTTTTTTCTATAACATTTGTAGAACTACTATATAAAGTATTTTGATATGCCATTTTGATGTCAACATTTAATCGTCTTTACATATCATAAACTATTTTACATTGAAATATATCGATAAAATCTTTAAAAAGATGTAATCGATTGAAAGCATCATACAAAATGTTATAACCTTGTTTATGAGCCTTCAATCAAATGTAATTTAAACGATATTACATAACACTTTTCAACCTTGTCTAATGAGTATCATCAAATAAATAGTACAAGATACAAACGATTGAAAATATGATTTTCTACATGTCGACTCTAATTAAGAATTTAAATAAAATTCGTAAATATGTAAGCAGAAATCAAGCCACCATAAGATCTATTTCGTATAAGATTCAAATGTATTCATCATTAAATGCACTTGGTTTTATTACCAGATCCCATTCAAATGATTTGATAAGAAAAATAATCGTAGTAATTTGAACTATTTTCAGATTGAATGAATGCAGAAGAAAGATAAATACAATATTCACACCCACATCCACCCTCATGATAGGATCTCAAAACTGTCTACATAATTTTTAAATTGTGTCAAAAACTATATGAAGCATGTTAGCTCCTTTTGCGCGTATATCTATTTAAAGAAAATGAAAAGCACATACGCACTACCTATATCTTATTAGCGTGTATCACCACACAAAAGAAAACTATAATAACAATTTTACTACTTCATTTAGATTCATATTAAATTTTAATCTCTTGTTTTTAATACCTATTGAATTAATTGCTTTTCGTAAAAGAATCGGCGATTATGATCAAAAGAACGATTTTTTATAAATCACTAATAGATCGTCGATAATTACTAATTTTTGTAATTGATTTCGAATCACCCATTAATTAGAGATCTGGAAAATAGAGAGTCAGGAACAATTTCTACGGTCTTTTAAACAGAACTATAGAAATTTATCGGAAAAAAAGAAGATTTCATTTTTGAATAATTAAGAAAACGATTGAACTAAGGAAGTCTTCTTTTACTTATATTCATTTGATTCGATTCTAAATACTTCTTCTTTTTTAATGGAAGATAACTTATTTTTTACATAAATTTTCAAATTGAATATCTTATTTAGTATTGTATTTTCTCGTAGTTTCTGTTTTACACCAATGCAAAACTGAAAACTTCTTCAATAATAATAACTAACAATCAAAGATTTTGAATACCTTGCAAGTGTATAGTTATAAACAGAACACTAGAGATCGATGAGATCTTTTAAACTAGGAATTTAATTTCTATGTCAAAAGAGTCTTCGTTTTAAGTTAATATAAATTATTGTAAACATCACATATCAATATGGAATTATTTATCTCGAGATATAATAAAGTATCATAAAATGTTAACATGGCTACATAGATACATATTTGAAAGTTGTCTCACCGATTGAATATAAAATATTTCAAGTTTGATATTATTATAGACAACAAATATTAAGAGAAGTACATTATTCATTTTATTTTTCGTATTGATCGTATTTGTTGAAAAGGTTGATCAATATCAAGGCATAAAAAACGAATAAACCATATATTGAAAAATCATAGCAATAATTATAAACTAATTCATGGCAGAATGATGTTGAATTCATTATATTATTTGACTGATACAGAGATGTTAAGAAAAAAGTAGAAATAATCTAAAAAAAAATTGTGACATCATTAAAACTAAGAATTTCATTTTAGTTATACTTACAAAAGATGTCAAAACAACAGCTCTAATACTTCAAATGCATAGAGTCCATTTTATAATTTCACATTATGACTTTCTTAGATAGAAAACAAATAAAATCAAATAAAAACGTATTATTTTAGAAAAATAAAATACTTGTAAAAATAAAAGGACTACATATCAAGCCAAATAGTTCGAAAATCAAAAGACCTTGCAGTACACGTGGTTGAAATGGGTATTCATCAATTGTCTAGCTCGTTATCATACATATTGATTCATTCACAAATAACAAACGACAACGTGACAAATTCTATGAATCATAGAGAAATATTAGTGATTCATAACTGTTTGCACATGAAAAAATGGATTCAATATTCTGATCGTCGTTCTTATCTACAAAATTATTTGCTTGTTATATTGAAAACTTCTATGAACAATCTTTGACAAATAGAAATGTTTATTCAATTGAAATAATTTATGAAAAAGTTTTAATGATATATGCAGTAATCGGATTAGTAGAATATACAATAATCAGATGAATGTGAGTCTATTCTATACAAAATTATATACCAAATCTTTTGGAAGCAACTGTAATTTAAACAGTAAGAATTTATTGAGATATCAAGAAAATACCAGCATGTTTATATGATAACTATGATCTATCCAATTTAATGTTAGTATTTCTTCATTATTTCATTTCATTTTCGTTGATATAAGGAAAGTAAGATTATAACAACAACAAATCCAAAGATAAATACACCAGAAATAACTAACAAAGATGACCAAATGAGATAATCCAATGGTTGTTGTAATTTTCGTGATTTTAGTACTATATTTTGTTCTGCTGAATTATTTGATGTTGGTAATGGATCAACATGTTTTCTAAAAGAAACTTCAGATGCCAATATAGAATTATTTGCATATGTTTTATAACAATTGTTTTCTATTTGTTCGTCGATTGAAGCCATTTTTTCAAATAATACTAGACAATTATGTGTTTGAAGGAGAGAAAATGAGTCGAACATGTACAATATGGTTATGCTCGGTCATGCATTGAAATTCATACAAGAGATACATATGCATTTGATACGATAGCGAATCATGAATATTTAACAAGCCTACTCGTTTTGTTTGTTAAATTTGTTCACTGTATTATTACATTCAGAAGTGATTACAAGAAAAAATTACCAACGTAAACAATTATTATATTTCAGATAGCAGAATTTTAATTTTGCAATGAAAACAAAGATGTAATATAACATTTGTTTCAGTTAGATGGAGACATTATAAGAATAAAAAAGAAAAGTTAAACAAGAAGAAAGAAAGAAAGAAAAAGAACAGAAAAGATAAGAGAAGAGAACAATACTAGTATATATCCATATTATAACATTTTCACTTGCCTTTTACCTACAACCCTCAATTTCTGTTTCAATCGACGATAAGCTTTTACTTGATATTTTTTTTTTGTATTAATAAGAAAAAGACAAGAAAACCATTTTGAGGATGTGGGTTTAAATGACAAAAGAGGTGAATACCAACACCCATATCCCATCTAGTTCAAGAATATTAATATTAATACTATTCATTTATTTTTGAAAACATATATTAGAAAATAGATAAAGGGTACAAGTGTATGATATATTTCACATTACTTTGATATTGTTTTGAGAATTTCTATTAATAATCAGCAATAACTTCGAGAGCTGCTCGACGTCCTTCTATAATTGCACCTTCCATACAAGCAGAATAATTAAGAGAGGTATAATCACCAGCAAAATGAATGTTCATTTGTCGTTGTTTTTCATAACCTCGTAGTGTAGAAAATTGACCTCGTGTCCTGCTTGGATAAGAACCAAGAAAATGTGGATCAATCCATGGTGCTGAAATAGTACCTTCTCCAGTATAATAGCTTGACGCATTGGGCCATATTTCATTCAAATCATTGAGAAATTGTCGAATATACCAATTTGTACTACTACTAATTTCATAATTTGATATGGAATCAAATCCTGATCGAGGAGTAAATGATGTTCCATCACTTCCACCTAGAAAACAAAATGATTCTAACATCTAAGAGTCTACATTTGTCGACGTACCTGTATATAGAACAAGAATACCAGTTTGTCCTGATTGACCTGTTGATGCTTCCCACGAATTAAGAAATGGTAAATCTGTATAAATATAACCATTTGATGATTTTTCTAACCAGAAACGTTTTGAGAATTGTAAATTTAATTTTGTATTTGTAGCATATCGAAATTCGTTAATAATTCGTGTTTTTAATGTATCAAACTGAGCTTGACTATAATCAACATATCTTAAAGTTGATAAAGGTAAAGTCAAAATTACATGATCGAAAAGAATTGTTTCACCATTAGCAAAACTTAAAGATATTTTATGATCAGTAGTTACCGTTATTTTAGTTAAATTATAATTCATTTGAATTATAATATTATTATTTTGTAAATATTTAGCAATACGTGTTGGTAATAAATAATTTCCACCATTAATTCGATAACGTTGATCAGATGAACCATATATTAATAGTGGTCCATTGGGTGGTTGACTATAAGGATCTAGATTAAATAACAAAGTCAAAGAACTTAACTCTTGAGTATCTATTCCAAATTGTTGTTTGTATGCAGAATCTAGATATTGACCTAATTGAGATCGATGTCCGTTTGGTACATATTTTTCTATCCAATCATACAACGATAATCTATCAAAATAGGTTCCATTGGCATTACTCTGATTAAAACTAATGTCACCAATTAGATCAATTTGTTGTTTCATAATTTCACCAACTGGTTGATAATCAATCCATGCTTGCGATGAACTATAAAAACGTGATAAAAAATAAAGTGTAGTTTGATAAATATCAGGATTATTCGCTTGAACAGTATCAATCAAAGTTAAATTGAAACGTTGTGTAAGATTTATCATCTGATAATAATTACTATCCAGAAATTCTCCACACCATTCAGATGTTTGATTACTGGAAGGCCATATATGTGTGTGAATACGACCACCAATATAATTATTGGCTTCATATATAATGATATTTTCTGGTGAAAATAAATTCGAATCTAATAAGGATAGACCAGCATTAAGACCACTAATACCAGCTCCAATTATAGCTATACGAACTGAACTTCGATTAGAGGTTGCTGTAGTATGATTGAATCGGGGAGCTTTAGAACGATTTGGAATATAGATTGGTATTAGAGAAATAACGCTTACTGCTGCAACACAAAGCAGAAAAGTAGCACTTAGAATAGCAAGTATAGTTTTCGCTGACATCCTAAAAAGAGAAAGATCTATAAAACTACATATTTCACTATTTAATAGACTGATCTTGTTATGAATGCATAGAACTGTGTCGCCGAGTATTTTTAAATATGAAGAAGAGACCTCTTCAACGATTTATTTTGTAGGTATTTATCTTACTTCAGGAAAATTCAATAGATATTATGAATTCACATTCATTGTAAAGATCATTCTATGGTTGATTATAAAAAACGAAAGAGACAATAAACATAATCAATATCATCGAGAACTTTCTCTTGAAGAAAAAATGAATTTAATAAAAGGAGAAGTACAAGGGTGTTTCTCATCGGCAATTGAGTAAGAAATATCAAACATTCATCTGTTGAAGATGATAAATATCTAATGAAATCATTTTTTATACTATAAATAGATGAAGTAAATTTTATATTGACAAACTGTAATAGTTAATCGGAAGTGAACGAAGAGACATTATTAAATTCAAAAGATCTTTGTATTTCTGCAGATTCTCTCCTACGTGATCAGCCTGTTAATCTGAACGAATTTTTAAAATACCAACAGTGTTCAGATTAGAGAAGTTATTCTGTATCTTACTTTGTCACTATTCAATTTTATACAGTTCAAAAAATTAATTGTAATATAAAAGATTAGTGTTAAAAATGAGCATAGAGTAGCCAATTTTCAATCAAAATATCTCTACTAGGAATTAGTCGACTGAAAATATGTATTTTAAAATTATCAAAAAAGCTACTATATTGCTATTTACTCGCACATACCTATTCATTTAGTCTGAAGACGTTAAAAATACATAATTTACTGTATCATATAAATGAAGCAAAGAGTATTGATAGCGATCATACCTTGATGCCGCATACATAGACATATATATGTATATATACATACATATCGTGATATATCTATCTTTTGTCTTCGTGTTATAAAGCATGTGAAGAAAGGAAAAAGAAAAAAAATCTCTTCATTCGATCATCATCAGCTTGTTATTAAACACAGGTATCGATAATATAATATAAACATTTGAGCATAACAACATGTGACAAAATATACATAACATATTATAAAAGAAGAAAAGGAAACATATTTATTGAGAAAAATTTCTTTCTATGCGAATAAAATGTGTCCTCCTATTCTTCAAGCAATAATAGACGCAAAAAAAGATGAATTATAGTAACATCACAAACATGGAAAATTCCATGAGTAATTAATTAGACTTATAATGATCGTCATGCATTATCCTTGAGATGAACATTTGTCATTGAGCAACAGGTGAAATCATACTTTCATCCTTTAGACTACCAAAATCTTTGAAATGATCAAGAATATGAAATATCAAACGGTGATATATATTGATCGTCATATTGAAACTGATTCCTTGTTCCGGAAAACGATAATATAGTAACACATTTAACATTAGAATGAGAAATATTACTTGTTAGAAAGAAGATGTTCATTTATAGAAGAACACAATCTTTTTACTTAGAAGTTAGTTCAAAAGTATAAACTTCTATATTTCTGAGAATGCGAATGTCTTGTTAGTTTTACGCCTATCCCTAGTGCATTAACAGACATGTTAGAAATGTAAAGAATTGTATTTTATTTTGTTAAATCTATGAATAGAACGTTGTACTGCATGATTATCAAACAATTTTATATTCATACAAAATCAAAATCTGTTCTTAACATAAGAGATGTCATATCTTCTCAATTCTCATTCAACATTTGTTAAAAACAGATGAATATATGATAAAATTTAATTAAAATAATAATTATTCATTTTCTAATGAAAAAAACTACAACAGACATGTCTTTATCAGAATAATATATCCTAGTTGTGTATATCTTCAACTCCTGGAATGAGAAGTCTGGACAAGACAAATTAAAAATTGACTTGTATATATACTGACTGTTATTCTATTATATATTATTTTACAATGTGTAATTCTACTGTTGTACTTTTAAATTCTATTTCTCAACAAGTGATTATTTATATGGGATTTTTTCTTTTTATCATTGGTCTTATTGGTAATCTCTTAACTTTACTTGTCTTTCTCAGCCTTGAAACATTTCGACAAAGTTCATGTGCATTTTATTTAATAATCATGTCAATTGTTAATACATTTCATTTATTTACGGGTTTATTAACTTTTATTATGATTAATGGATTTGCTATTAATTGGACAAATACATCATTATTTTATTGTAAATTTCGCCCATTTTGTGTTCAAGTGTGTATATCCATATCTTTTTCATGTATGTGCTTAGCAACTATCGATCAATTCTTAGCAACTCTTTCTAACACTCGATGGCATCAATTCAATAATATTAAATTAGCTCGATCTATTATAACAGGAATAACTATAATTTGGATTTTATGTGAAATACCTTTTATGATATATTATGGTAATACTTTACCACTCAGTACCGGAAAATTCAATTGTATTATGACGAATGACGCTTTTAGAAAATATTATAATTATTTTCATGGACTTATTCTATCAAATATTCTACCTTTATTAATAGTGATTTTATTTGGAATATTAGCATATCGAAATGTTCAAAAAATAGCGTATCGAACAGTTCCATTAGTTCGACGAGAATTAGACAAACAATTAACTGTAATGGTTCTTGTTCAAGTCTTTTATGATACTATTGCACTTACACCATTAGCAATTCTACTTATTTATAATGATATTCCAGATAAATCACTTGATGCATGTGGAATAGCTATTTTAAATATTTTCACAACTCTATTTACTCTTCTATATTATTTTCATTTTGTGGTAAATATCAATCAGTATAAAAATAATAATCACTTTTTCTTTTCTAGGGTTCATTCTTCATATATATATGTGTATCAAAAAGATTTCGTCAACAATTGATTCATGTTTTATTTACAAATTTCAATCGATATCATCCTCGACCACTAAATAACAATCAAATACAACCACAAACTTCATAATTTCACATATATTTTTGCTTTTTCATATTAGTTTATTATTAATCCTTAACAGCTGTATCCTTCATAGTTTACGATAGATGACTATCATAGCATCTGTCATTTCTGTTGAGTCAATTAATATTAATAAAACTTTGTCACTCATATTATATAAATTTTTAATCTGTAAACTTCAACACTCGTTTCAGTCTGTATTACATAAAAGCTCCAATAGATACATAATATTATTTTAATGGAACAAACAATATTTCTATAAGTGATGCATATGTGTCATCGAAATACAAAGCATTTCTTGAAATTGTGAGTGTTGTGATCAATGATCGTGCATTTTCACGTTTTTTGTACAGACATAGTTTTTGCTTGGCGAGAATGGTTTATTTGTTTTGATAGCTGAAAGAAAAAAAGAAAGAAAGAAGAACATAAACGATTAACGTTTTTTCTACACTATGTATTTGTTTCTTCTTTCATTTTAAGTAATAACAGCCGTCAACTTCTACTTTAATACACACATACACCGAAAAAAATCTTACAAAACACAATATCTTTCTTTAAAAATTCTCTGTGTTAATCAATAATGGGGTGTAATACATCTACCACTGCAGTAGCTCCTACCACAACTGTTCAACCCACTAAAACTGCTCACTCTACCATGACTGTTCATCCTACCAAAACTATTCAGCCTACCATAACTCATGAATCCAATAAAAAAGATGATGCACATTTAATGTATAGCCAATTATTCAAAGAATTTCTATCACAAATGTCTGAAAATGATCGATCAACAGTCATTTCTTTTTGTCCTGATCTTTATACCAATGATAATTTATCTGATTTAATTTCTACCAATCCAGAATTATTAAATCGTACTAATATTATGAGAAAAAAACTTATAGATGAAAATCCGACCGTTTCTATGGGTCGTCTGATGTTAGAAATGGGTTCATATGATCGTGCCGAATATTTATATTTTAAAGCTATACATCAAGAAAAAAATAATTGGAAACGTTTAACAGTTGTATATAATAATTTAGCTAACGTCTATTATAAAGAAGGAAAGTATGACAAAGCATTAACTTACTATCACAAAAGTCTTAGTATTCAACAGAAGCATTTACCTGAAAATGATTCAAGTTTGAGTATTGATTACAATAATATTGCTATAGTTTATGAAACACAGAAAAATTATGATTTATCATTACAATTTTTTCAAAGTGCATTAATGCTTGAAATGAAAGCAAGTAAACCTGATGAAAAATTAATTGCATTTCTCAATAATCATATTGGTTTAATTCATAATGAACAACAAAATTTTGCTCAAGGTCTTATTTATCATGAAAGAAATTTACGAATTAATGAAAAACTTTTTCCAGCTACTCATCCATCATTGGCATTATCGCATCATAATATAGCTAT